GGCTGTGGTGAGGATTCAGTGAGGCTTTACTGCATGTAAATTCTTTTTTTTTTTTTTTTTTGAGACAGAGTTTCGCTCTGTCACCAGGCTGGAGTGCAATGGTGCGATCTCGACTCACGGCAACCTCCGCCTCCCAGGTTTAAGCCATTCTCCTGCCTCAGCCTCCCGAGTAGCTGGGACTACAAGCACGCACCACTATGCCCAGCTGATTTTTGCATTTTTAGTAGAGATGGGGTTTCACCATGTTGGCTAGGATGGTCTCCATCTCTTGACCTCATGATCTGCTCGCCTCGGCCTCCCAAAGGGCTGGGATTACAGGCGTGAGCCACCATGCCCGGCCACATGTAAATGCTTTAGATTTAAAAAGTATGAATCCAATCAATAAATGGTAACAGTTTCTAACTGTCTGTTGCCATGGTTACCGCCTGGCTCCCACAGTGCACAATGGGCAGTGACCCAGGCTCAGTGCTCCCAGTTGGAGCGGAGTAGGGGAAGGCATCAGGGAATTGCGGAAATCAATCTCTGAGTGTGGTTCTCAGATGGAAGCCATTGTTGGAATCCCCCCAGGGAAGCTGCTCTGAGAAAGGAAAATCATGTTAGCAGCACTCTGAGTGGTAACTGTGTGCCAGGCCTTGTCCTAAAGGCCTGATGTGTCCTACCTGTTTTAATCCCCCCAGTGTCTCTAAGAGACAGGAGCTATTATATCCCATTCCACAGGTGGGGAAACTGAGGCACAGAGCCTTGAAGCTCCAGACTGCACAACTGGTAGGTGGTGGGATTTGAACCTGGATGGTAAGAGACCTGAGGATCACACTCTGAAGTGCTCTCTGCTGAGGTTAGCTATGCTGGCCCTGCCTTGGGGGCCACCTCGGCTAATTAAATCAGCATGTGCAAATGGAGTCTTCTCCTCCAGCCAATCCTTTACCTACCCACAGGCTGCCATGTTCTAGGCCTTTCTGGGATTGTTGCTGCATTTGACAGTGTGGAACCTGAGGCTCAGTGAGAAGCAGGGATGCCTCAAGATCCCCTCACACAGCCTGTCAGAGGTGGGCAGGATGGGGACCCAGGTCTGTTGGTGCAACACTGCTGCACTCAGACATCACCTCCTCCTGGAAGCTCTCCCTGATTACCTCCCAGATAGCTCAGGTCCCCTGTACACCCTGCCAGCACTGATCAAGGTATATTTTATATCTGAGACTTGAGGCTCTGTGAGGGCCAGGGTTGAGGGACTCTCAGTCACCTCAGTATCTTTGCTACACAGAGATGCTCAATGGACCTATGCTGAATGAGTGAATGAATGTAGCCCCTGACACATACAGGCCAGAGGCAGAGATGGCAGCATAAGGAGGTCACGTGGTGCTGCAAGGAAGTGTGAAAACCAAAGAGGCCTTCATCCATCCATCCATCCACCCACCCACCCACCCATGCAACCAACAAATATGTATTGAGCATCTACTATGTTCCAGGCACTGAGTTATGGACACAGCACGAACAAGATGGACACAGTCCTGCTCTCTTGGAGCTGACAGTCTGATGGGGGAATGATACAGTTTGGATATTTGTCCCTCCCAAATCTCATGTTGAAATGTGATCCCCGGCCAGGCATGGTGGCTCATGCCTGTAATTCCAGCACTTTGGGAGGCCAAGGTGGGCGGATCACTTGAGGCCAGGAGTTCGAGACTGGCCTGGCCAACAGGGCAAAATTTGTCTCTACTCAAATACAAAAAAATAGCCAGGCGTGGTGGCGCGTGCCTGTAATCCCGGTATTTGGCAGGCTGAGGCAGGAGAATCACTTGAACTGGGGAGGCAGAGGTTGTAGTGAGCCGAGATTACTCCAGCGTAGGCGACAGAGCAAGATACTGTCTCAAAAAAAAAAAAAAAAAAGAAAAGAAATGTGATCCCCAATGTTGGAGACAGGGCCTGGTGGGAGGTGTTGGGTCTTGGAGGCAAATCCCTCATGAATGGCTTGGTTACTGGAGGTAATTCATGAGTCCTCACTCTAATAGTTCACACAAGAGCTGGTTGGTTGGACCCTCTCTCTCTCATTCCCTCTCTTGCCATGCAATGTGCCTGCTTCCCCTTTGCCTCCTGCCTTGAGTAAAAGCTTCCTGAGGCCTCCACAGAAGCCAAGCAGATGCTGGCACCATGCTTCTTGCACAGCCTGCAGAACCGTGAGCCAGATGAACCTCTTTTCTTTGTAAATTATGCAGCCTCAGGTATTCCTTTATAGCAACATAAAACGGACGAATATAAGGAGATAATACATAAACAAATAACTAAATGATTTCCAAGGCATAATAAGGGCTATGGAGGCATGGATCATGAGTTCTTAGGGACGAGGGTTAGGGAAGGCTTCTAGAAAAAGGTGATATTTGTGTTGAAACCCAAATAAAGGGAGACAATGGGCCCTGTGCTGAATCAGGGAAGAGCGTTCCAAGTGGAGAGGACAGTGAGGGCAGAGGACCCAGGGCAGGGAGAACAAACTCAGCACAAGGGAGCCAGGGTGGCTGGAGGAATGAGCAGAGGGGAGGGAGGTGGCAGAGGAGGCCACAGAGGTCATGAGAGGAAGGGACAGGGATGGGAAGGACTCCCAGATTTGGGGCCTGAGTGCCTGGAAGGATTGGGAGGAAAGCTGTAGAGGACTGTTGGTCTCCAAGGGGGATGCTGAGGGAGCCTGGAGCTCAAGTAGTCTGGGCAGGAGGTAGAAATATGGATGCTGTGATGGTAGACATGGTTTTGAAAGCCTCAGTATCAGATAGGGCGCGCTGGGGAAAGGCCCAGACTCAGCAACGTTTAGAGATTGTCTAGGGGGCCAGGAGTGGTGGCTTACGCCTGTATGCCCCTCCCTACACTTTGGGAAGCTAAGGTGGATGGATCACTTGAGGTCAGGAGTTCGAGACCAACCTGGCCAAAATGGTGAAACCCCATCTCTACTAAAAATACAAAAATTAGCCAGGCATTGTGGCACACACCTGCAGTCCCAGCTACTCAGGAGGCTGGGGTGGGATTATCGCTTGAACCCAGGAGGTGGACATTGCAGTGAGCTGAGATCATACCAGTGCACTCCAGCCTGGGCAACAGAGCAAGACTCTGTCTCAAAAAAAAAAGATTGTCTAGGGGAGGAAGGACCAGAAAAGAACCAAAGAAGAAATGACCAGGTTCATACAAGAAGGTTGGAGAAGGCTGGGTGCGGTGGCTCACACTTATAATCCCAGTACTTTGGGAAACTGAGGTGGGAGGATCATTTGAGGCCAGGAATTTAAAACTAGTCTGGGCAACATACCAAGACCCTGTCTCTACTGGAAAAAAAAAAAAAAAAAAAAAAAGGAGGTAGGAGAACACCACAGAGCCATTGTACGGGCTCAGGGAGGTGGCCTCTGGGAAGGAGGCGGCAGGCCTGGGGCCCAAGGCTATCTATGTGACCCCAGGCAGGAGCAGATTGGGGTGTGGTGGGGAGTGCATTAGGACCCTAGACCCAAGTAACAGGCTCTCCAAGAGGCACAGGGGGCCAAGGAGACTTTGGTCCTGTCCCTCAGAGGCAGGGCTAGGGCAGTGGAAGTCTTTCCCCTTGCCCTGGGAAATCCCCCGCTCCAAGACAGGCCCTGTCATGGGAGTGGTGCTGGGCCCAGACCTGGAGGGGGGATGTCACAGGCTGGACAGGGCAGACGTGTGGGTGTCAACCTCAATTCTGCCCCTTCTCTGGGCCTGAATCCTATCTCTTCAGTGGAGTGAAAACGCTAGTCCTGCCCTGACCCCAGGAGGCTGTGAGACTTGGACAGGAGCCTAGAGGTCATCCATGCTTTTTTTTTTTTTTTTTTTTTTTTTGACACGGAGTCTTGCTCTGTGCCCCAGGCTGGAGTGCAGTGGCGCGATCTCGGCTCACTGCAAGCTCCGTTCCCCCGGGTTCACGCCATTCTCCTGCCTCAGCCTCCCGAGTAGCTGGGACTACAGGCGCCCGCCACCTCGCCCGGCTAATTTTCTTGTATTTTTAGTAGAGACGGGGTTTCACCGTGTTAGCCAGGATGGTCTCGATCTCCTGACCTCGTGATCCGCCCGTCTCGGCCTCCCAAAGTGCTGGGATTACAGGCTTGAGCCACCGCGCCCGGCCAATCCATGCTTTTTTACATTTTATTTTAGAGATAGGGTCTCACTTTGCCACCCAGGCTGGAGTGCAGTGGCACCATCACAGCTCACTGCAGCCTCGAACTCCAACTCCTGGGCTCAAGAAGTCCTTCCGCCTCAGCCTCCTGAATAGCTAGGACTATAGGCACTTTTTTTTTTTTTTTAATTTTTGCAGAGTCTAGGTCTCACTATGTTGCCTGGTCTCAAACTCCTGGGTTCAAGTAATCCTCTTGCCTTGCCTCAGCCTCCCAAAGTGCTGGGATTACAGGCATGAGCCACAGTGCCTGTCTCACCCCTGCCTTTTAAGTAACAGCCACAATTGCTGCAAACATAGGAAGGCCCAGGACAGGTGGGTCTCAGTTTTACCATCTGTCACACAGGAAGCCCAGTTTCTCCACCCTCAGTCCTGGGGCCTACAATCCAGCCTCCACATCTCAGCCCAGGTGAACTTTCTCAAACCTCTAGTGTCCTTGCCCTGTCACCAATCTTCTATGGCTCCATACTGCCCTTTGCCATGTTCCCACTGCCAAGTTGCTTCCCTGGATGACCACCATAATGATCTGCAGTTCTGTGCTGCGCTGTGGTTGGTTCTGTCCCATGCACTGGCCTGGATACTCCCTGGGACATGGCAGGGACCTGACATATCTTGGAGCCAGGCCCAGAGAAGGGCCCAGTGAAGGTAATGTTGGGCTGAGGGCTCTGCCCACCTGCTCCAGCTGCAGCTGCAAGGTGTGCTGGGCCGCCACGTCCCCTAGCGCAATCTCCACGTAGGGGTAGCTGGAGTTGGCCGTGGGCCGCTGGGTCCGCGTCGACTGGATCTCCTTCAGGGGGAACTTCACCATCAATTCCTGGGAGTAGGGGAGAGGGGCCAGACAGGCCTGTGGGTGAGGACAGTCTCAACCACTCTTACCCCTCCCCTGCAAATCAGATCTATAGGAGGCACGAGACTCACTCCAGTTCAAGTACCAGTTCCCCAGTGATTTGTGTGACCTTGAGCAAATCACTTTACCTCTCTGGACCTCAGTTTCCTCACCTGTGAAATTGATTCAACAAATACTGATGATGCATCTACCATGTGCCAGGGACTGCTCTAAGTGTTCTAAGTGCTTGGGATACAGAGGTATTGGTGCCCTGAACTTCACATCAAAGTTGCTTCTTGTGAACACCGGCACCTCTTTTTAAAATTTCCTTTTTGTGGAAAACGGGGCCTCCTGTGTTGCCCAGGCCAGTCTCAAACTCCTGGGCTCAAGGAATCCTCCTGCCTCTGATTCCCTAAGTGCTAGGGTTACAGATGTGAGTCAAGTACCTAGCCTGTCTAGGGGCTTTTCTTCTGGCCCAGGAAGCAAACTTAGACCACATACAGGGAAAGTCAGAGTGATAGAGAGTTAATGCCTCAGAAAGAAGCCCTTGCTAATGACAGATGGGAAGTGTTGAATAGACACCCCAGCTCCCTTGTTCCCAGGACAGAAGCAAAGCCCTAGGCTATCTCTCAGGGCTCCCCAGCTGGACTGACCTCCAGGTGCCCACATCAGCAACTTGCTTGCTAACACCCCCTCTACTGGCTCCATCCCTTCCCTGTCTCACTTCCTCACTCCAGTGTTTCCTGGAATCAACTCTAAATCAACCACTTGCCCTGGAATCCCTGTCTCAGGGTCTAGTTCTGGGAGCAAAAACTAAGGGGGTAACAGGTCCTACTTAATATGGGCTGAATCATGTCCCCCACCAAATTCCCATGTTGAAACCCTAACTCCCAGTGCCTCAGAATGTATTTAGAAATAAGGGCTTTAAAGAGGTGACTAAGTTAAAATGAAGCTGTTAGGATGGGCCCTCCTCCAATATGACAGGTGTCCTTATAAGAGGAAATTAGGATACAAAAAGAGATACCAGGGCTGTGCGCACACAGAGGAAAGGCCATGTGAGGACGCGGCAAGAAGACAGCTGTCTGCAAACCACCAAAGAAACCAGACCTGCTGACACCTTGACCTTGGACCGCCAGCCTCCAGAATTGTGAGAAATCAACTTCTGTTGTTTAAGTTACTCAGTCTGTGGTCTTTTGTTACGGCAGCCCAAGCACACAGATGTACTATTTGAGTGCATAGGGTATGTTTTACCTCATCTCACCTTCACAACAGCCCTATGGGTGGGCTCAACTCTTATCCTCATTTTCCAGATGAGGAAAGCAAGGCTCAGAGAGGGCAAGAGACTTGCCTGAGATCATAAAGGTGGTAACCAGTGGAACTGGGCTTCGGTGGCTGGAGGTCTTGGCCCCTTGGAGGGGGTAGGGGACCAGGGAACAGAGGGTGGTGATGGCAGTGCCAGGCTGAGGCCACTCACATGAGTCTCTGTGCTGAGAAAGTTGAGGCCATTGTGGTTGACAGCAAGGATGCAAGGGGCTGGCACAGCAATGTTGCTGCAGCTCTGGATGAAGAAGAAGGAGGAGCCGAACATAGGTAAGGCGCTGAGGAGGCCTGGGCAGGGAGAGGGGGTGGCAGTTACGTGCTGGGCAGGGTTCACTGACAACAGCCATGGCCCTGAACTGCACAGCTTCTCTGGGCTGTATCCAGCCAATGCAGGAGCCCTCAGTCTGGGTCTCCTCCCATCTATCTGGCCTCCCTTCTCACGGCCTCTTCCTCTATCCCTGCTTGTAGCTCTTCTTCCTCTGCCAGGGCCACTTTGAGCCTAGGTGACATCTCCATAAACATTGTAAAGACATGTTTTCTCCAGGTAGGTGCTCAGCTTGACCGGCACTGAAAAATGCCTTTGTGCAAAGAAAGAGGTGCCTCCATATCCATGCTCCATGACCACCCTCCTCAGCAAAGCCCCCTATGATCACCTCCCCTCCCCTGCAGCTCTTACCCAGAAACTGGGCACGGGCCTGGTGGGGGCTGAGCGCCTGTGTCTGCTGCCGGTGCTGGCTGACCAGGTTGAGCCAGGTCGAGCCTACTGTTGTACGGTAGAGCTGGGCTGGGATGTACTCCTGGACTTCCCGCCTGTGTACGGAGGGAGGGGAAAAAGGTCCCGAGTGAGCTCCCAGGCTCAGGCAATCCTCACCGTGCCGCAGGCATGCAGAGCAGACCTGATCTATGCACCTCCCTGGAAGACTAAATGCTAGGGAGTGTAAATGGGCTGAAGGTGGCGTAGAGGCGCCCACAGTGCCTTGGTACTGCTTAATCATGGCCAGGGCCAGTACCACTAGGATCCCTGTTTGCAGTTAAGGGAACTGAGGCTCTCAGAAGTTCACCGACTAGTTCAAGGTTACACAGTGACTGAGTGAGTTAGCAGCATGGGTTGGTGGGGGCAAGACTTGAACCCAAGGCAGTTTCATCCTTTATACTTTCTGCCCCCAAGGAGAAGTAAAAGCCAGAGGGGTGAGAGGAAACATCAGGGTGGGCAATGCAGCCACAGGGCTGGGCAGAGCCTTGAGCAGAGGAGTGCTGGGCCTCCAGGCTGAGGCCCCTGGGCATCAGCTTGTCCCAGCCCTCTTCCCTCTGACACATGCTGGCTGCTACCTGAGGCAGACCCTTTACCTCTTTGGACATGTGGAAAATATCAATAGCAGTCCCAGCCCATCCTGACCAGCTGGAGCTGCAGGTGAAGGAAGGGTTGGGAGAAAGCCAGGAGAGAGACCCCCTGCTCCCCAGAGATCCCCTGGGTAACATCTGTCCTTCTTTCCACTGCTGGGGTAAGGGCCTGGCATCTGAACCCAGTCTCCCCAGTTTTGGATCCTGGTTCCCCCATTGTTAGCTGGCTAGACTTCAGTAAGCCATATAACCTTGCTGGGCCTTATCTGTAAATAGGGAAAATAAAATGAAGTTGGGAAGAATAGCTGAGATAATGCAGATGCAGGGTCCCTTGCAAAAAGTAAGAACTCGATTATTATTATTATTATTATTTTTGAGACGGAGTCTCGCTCTGCCGCCCAGGCTGGAGTGCAGTGGCCAGATCTCAGCTCACTGCAAGCTCCGCCTCCCGGGTTCACGCCATTCTCCTGCCTCAGCCTCCCGAGTAGTTGGGACTACAGGCGCCCGCCACCTCGCCCGGCTAGTTTTTTTTTTTTTGTATTTTTTGGTAGAGACGGGGTTTCACCGTGTTAGCCAGGATGGTCTCGATCTCCTGACCTCGTGATCCGCCCGTCTCGGCCTCCCAAAGTGCTGGGATTACAGGCTTGAGCCACCGCGCCCGGCCTTCGATTATTTTCATCCGGGATTGGGAATAGATCTTTATGTGCTTCTTGCTCTTTTTTTTTTTTTTCTTTCCTTTTTTTTCTTTTTTGAGACAGAGTCTCACTCTGTCGCCCAGGCTGTAGTGCAGTGGCACGATCTTGGCTCACTGCAAGCTCCGCCTCCCAGGTTCATGCCATTCTCCTACCTCAGCCTCCCGAGTAGCTGGGACTACTGGGACTACAGGCGCCCGCACCACGCCCGGCTAATTTTTTGTATTTTTAGTAGAGACGGGGTTTCACCATGTTAGCCAGGATGGTCTCGATCTCCTGATCTCGTGATCCGCCTGCCTCAGCCTCCCAAAGTGCTGGGATTACAGGCGTGAGCCACTGGGGCCCGGCCGCTTCCTGCTCTTTTCACTTAAAATCATACTTAAAAAAAAAGAGCTTTAGGCTAGGCGCAGTGGCACGTTGAGATTACACCTGTAATCTCAACACTTTGGGAGGCTAAGGAGGGAGGATAACTTGAGCCCAAGAGTTCGAGACCAGTCTGGCCAACATGGTAAGACCCCCGTCTCTACAAAAAATTTAAAAATTAGCTGGGTGTGGCCGGGCACGGTGGCTCAAGCCTATAATCCCAGCACTTTGGGAGGCCGAGGCAGGCGGATCACGAGGTCAGGAGATCGAGACCATCCAGGCTAACATGGTGAAACCCTGTCTCTATGAAAAAATACAAAAAAAATTAGCCAGGCATGGTGGTGGGTGCCTGTAGTCCCAGTTACTCGGGAGGCTGAGGCAGGAGAATGGCGTGAACCCGGGAGACGGAGCTTGTAGTGAGCCAAGATCGCACCACTGCACTCCAGCCTGGGTGACAGAGCGAGACTTTGTCTCAAAAAAAAAAAAAAAAAAAAAAAAAAAAAAAATGAGCTGGGCGTTGTGGCATGCACTTGTGATTCTAGCTACCTGGGAGGCTGAAGTGGGAGGATCACTTGAGTCCAAGAGGTCAAGGCTGCAGTGAGCCGTGATAGGGCCACTGCACTCCAGCCTGGGTGACAGAAAGAGACTCTGTCTCAAAAATAAAATAAAAATAAAAATAAGGAGTTTTACATATTGAGCCCTTACTGTGTTACAGGTGCTGGAATATACATGGTATGGACATCATCTTACTATTCTTTTTTCCAGGGATTCTCAACGTGTGGCCGAGGGGGTTGAAAACCATTTTCATCACAACACTAGGAACTTGTCGTTTTCTCTCTTGTTCTCTCACAAGTGTACAGTGGAGTTTTCCAGAGGCTACATAACATGAGATGGCAACAGGCTGACTGCAGAAGCAGATCTGGGAACCCAGCTGCCTTAAGTCAGACAGTACAGAGCTTTGAAAATGTAAAAGTACAGAGCTTTGAAAATGTAAAATTCCTACTAATTTTTTTTTTTTTTCTTTTGAGACAGGCTCTTGCTCTGTTACCCAGGCTGGAGTCCAGTGGTGCAATCACGGTTCACTGCAGCCTCGAACTCCCAGGCTCAAGTGTTCCTCCCACCTCAGCCTCTCGAGTTACTGGGACTACAGGCATGTGCCACCACACCCATGAATCACTAAATTTTTTTTGAAAATATACTCATTTTTCATAAAAAGTTATTTATATTGACATTTAGTGGGTTTATTATTTTTATTTTTAACTGAATTAATACATCAATATTTTAACAGGGTAAATATATTAACTGATATAACCCACATAAACAAAAGCTCTTTGAGGTCCTCTTTTTTTTTTTTTTTTTGAGACGGAGTCTTACTCCATTGCCCAGGCTGGAGTGTAGTGGTGCAATCTCAGCTCACTGCAACCTCTGCCTCTTGGGTTCAAGCAATTCTTCTGCCTCAGCCTCCCAAGTACCTGGGGTTACAGGCGTGCACCACACGCCCAGCCACGAGGTCCTGTTATTATTATTATTATTATTATTAATTTTTTTTTTTTTTTTGAGACGGAGTTTTGTTCTTCTTACCCAGGCTGGAGTGCAATGGTGTGATTTTGGTTCACTGCAACCTCCCTCCGCCTCCCGGTTTCAAGTGATTCTCCTGCCTCACCCTCCCAAGTGGCTGGGATTATGGGCATGTGCCACCACGCCTGGCTAATTTTGTGTTTAAAATAGAGACGGGATTTCACCATGTTGGCCAGTATGGTTTTGAACCCCTGACCTCAGGTGATCCATGCACCTCAGCTCCCAAAGTGTTGGGATTACAGGCGTGAGCCACAGGGCCCAGCCTATTATTATTATTATTATTTTGAGATGGAGTTTCGCTCTTGTCACCCAGGCTGGAGTACAATGGCACAATCTTGGCTCACTGCAACCTCCACCTCCGGGGTTCAAGTGATTCTCCTGCTTCAGCCTCCTGAGTAGCTGGGATTACAGGGGCCCGCCACTACACCCGGCTAATTTTTTTTTTTTAATTTGTATTTTTAGTAGATAGGGGGTTTCACCATGTTGGCCGGGCTGGTCTCAAACTCCTGACCTCAGGTGATCCGCCAATCTCGACCTCCCAAAGTACTGGGATTACAAGTGTAAGCCACCGCGCCCGGCTGAGGTGCTCTTTTCAAGAGTGTAAAAAGGTCCTGAGACCAAAAATTTGAGAATGACTGATGTACACTGTGAGCATTAATTATAACTTACAGAACACCAGTTTAAAGGCTGTCTAGGCCAGCCAGGGTGGCTCATGCCTGTAATCCCACTGCTTTGGGAGGCTGAGGCAGGAGGGTTACTTGAGCCCAGGAGTTCAAGATCAGCCTGGGCAAAGTAGCAAGACGCTGTTTCTACAAAAATAAAAAAGTTCAGCCTGGGCAACAGAGCAAGACCCTGTCTCTATAAAAAGTGGTATATCGTTTTTAAAAAATAAAGAAAAAATCAATAATTAAAAAAAAAAAAAAAAAGAAAAAAAAAAAAAAAAAAAAAAAAAAAAATACAATAAGGAATTAAATACTATTCAGGAGTAATAATTTAATATATAAGTAATTAAAGGCTAACACCCATAATTTACTTGACTCCTCCCTGTTGCTGGATATTGAGGTTACTTCTGATCTTTTGCTCTTGTAGCAGCATTGCAGTGAATGTTTTTGTGGCTAAATCTTTCTGCATAGCCACGTGTATTTCCTGGACCACAGGGAACATGTGTCCTGAAACCTTTTTTTAACATTACCTTTGTTCTGAGCTAATAATATCAACCAGAAGCAACTTGCGAAAGAGAGGCAGGGTCCCAGCTCCTATGGCTAGTTGGAAAACTTCAGCCCCCAGGCAAGGAGAGCCCCTTCCCAGACAGCCCCACTGGTATAAGAGGGGAGTCTGGGGGCCTGGGGACAGCCAGCTCTGAGGGGGGTGGAGGTGGGCTGAGAGGGCAGGGTTGCCTGTCCACCCCAGCTGAGACAGGAGGGCAGGTGCTCACACGCTCGGCAGGTAGAAGTGGTCCTTGGCGCGATGCTGCAGTGAAGCCAGCTTGGACACCTGCTGCAGCAGCTGCTCGCTGGGCTGGCTGGCTGGCACACTGCTGAAGAGGCCCTTCAGATAGTCAGGCAGGACCTGCAGGGAGCACCTGGGTAAGGGGCTGCCAGGCAGGCACACGTATGGGCACTTGGCTGCAGGGGACTGGGGACGTGCATGTTTAATGATTGCAGCCCCATCCTCTTCTGGGGTAGGATGGCCTATTACTTTCCTGGGTTTTGGGGAATGATGGCAGAAGCACGTAAGGGTGATGTGGGAGGGCTGTGGCCTTAATGCCCATGAGGGAGTCCCCACAGCAACCTTGCCAGGATGTGGGTTGGCTGGTGAGAGCAGAGCATCAACTCTGCAGTGTGGTCATGTATCTATCAGGCCTGCTGTTTCTCAAAACTGAGTGTGCCTGAGCCACAGGAGGGCTTGCCAAAATAGACGGCCAGGTTGGGCTCCAGAGGCTCTGAGGCAGGAGGTCTGAGGTGGGACTTGAGGATTTGCCAGTCCACAAGCCTCACATTGAGTAGCATGGTGCCGGACTGCACAGGGCTATGCTTCAACAGTGACACCATGTGACCACAAAAGCTACGTGACCATATTGTGTACAATTCCTGAAGTTTTGGCACCAGTTCCACAAAAACACACACTTTCTGTTCAAGCACTTCCACACATACTGGCTCAGTAGGAGAGAACCCAGACTTTGTAAACTCCACGATCCTGACTTAGAGGACTTCCAAGTCTCACAGAATAACACACAGACAAAAGTGACAATACTAGCAAACCCTGGCTTAGCACTTGGAGCAAAGGACAGGCCCATGTTCAGAGGAGGAAGACATCTGAAGGAAAGGGGAACGCAAAGAGGGCCTAATGGAAGACGTGTTGTTTGGGGACAGCTTTCTGGGAAGGACTTAAATAAGCTGGGAAGTGCAGATGGAGGGATGGCATGCACAAAGGCCCTCAAAGGTAGTGAGGGCTGTTTCGACTTCTCCAAAGAGACCACATAGGGGAGCAGAGGCATCAGGGTTAGAGATGTCCACAGGGCCTGAATCATGAACACTTCAAACGCCACAGCTGTGGAGTCTGACTCACAGGCCCAGGGGAGCCTAGAAGGTCCCAGAGTCCAGAGAAGCCCACGTGTGCTGACCTGGTTGTAGTGCATGGTCACATATAGCTCATTCTCGAACTTGAGTGGCTGATCCCAGAGCACACGCCGGAACCACAGCATGTAGCCGCCGTCCACCTGCTCCATCTCTGAGGCCACATCCAGGATGTAAGCACGGCGACTGAGTGGGCACACATGCTGGCCTGCAGAGAGCAGGGAGACAGGGCTGGGTGGGGGCATATGTGCACACACACGTGTGTACATGTACAGAGCATGTGTACAGACCCCAACCTGCTACCCAGCTGAGGTATCACCTCGGACAAGCCACCTGCCTGTTCTGGGACACAGCTTCCTCATTAAAGGAGAGCGTGTTTGTCGAATGGGGTGTCCTATGTTTTATTGAAATGTTGATGACCACAGATGGTAATAACTCCAATGCAAAGCTTTAAGTAATGCTCCATTTCTCCCGGGGAAAGAGGGGCTGCTGAAGAGTGCCCCCAGTGTGGCCTGCCTGGATCTGGGAAAATGCCCTGCATTATGCTCAGAGAAGGCCCAGCTCCTTTCCAGAGGAGGCTGGGGACAAGGACAAACACAAGAGGCCTCAGACTACAAGACCTAGTGGGTAGCTTTCTGCAGACCTCCTTCAGGAGAGACCCCTTGCCAGGCACTTGGCATAGGTGGGGGTGGGGAGGATTGGGGTCTGAGCCTGGGAGAGGCTCAAGTTTTCCTCTCTTGCACTGACATTTTTGCCACCCATCTCACACCAGCAGTAAAATCTTACTAAAGAGAGGGGGTTTGGTATGATTACATGATTACCACTATGTGACTGTGGATAAGTCACAACTTCTGTGGCACGCTGAATAATGACCCCTGCAAAGATGTCCAGGTCCTAATCCCTAGAACTTATGAATATGTCACCTTCCTGGCAAAAGGCACTCTGCAGATGTGATTAAGTTAAGGATCTGGAGATAGAGATGATCCTGGATTATCCAAGCAGGCCCAACATCATCAGCACAGGGGTCCTCATAAGAGGAAAGCAGAAGGGTCAGAGTCAGAGGAGGAGATGTGAGACCAGAAGCAGAGGCTGGCAGGGAGAGAGATTTGAGGATTCTACACTGCTGGCTTTGGAGATGGAGGAAGGGGTCATGGACCAAGGAATGCAGGCAGCCTCTAGATGCTGGAAGGGGAAAGGAAACAGATTCTTCCCTAGAGCCTCCAGAAGGAACCTGGCCCTGATGCCATTTTCATTTTAGAACTTCTGACTTTCAGAATTATAAGGTAATATATTTGTGTTTTTTTTAAGCCAATAAATTTGTGATAATTTGTTATAGCAACAATAGGAAACTAATACAGCCTCCCTGGGCCTCAGTTTCCCCACCTGTAAATGGAAAGACTAACAGTCTCCACTTCATAAGGTTGTTGTGGGGATTAAAATAGTTCACAGAATGAAATGCCTTTTTTTTTTTTTGAGACGGAGTCTCGCTCTGTCGCCCAGGCTGGAGTGCAGTGGCGCCATCTCGGCTCACTGCAAGCTCCGACTCCCAGGCTCACGCCATTCTCCTGACTCAGCCTCCCAAGTAGCTAGGACTACAGGCGCCAGGCTATTTTTTGTATTTTTTTAGTAGAGACGGGGTTTTACCGTGTTAGCCAGGATGGTCTCTATCTCCTGACCTTGTGATCTGCCCGTCTCGGCCTCCCAAAGTGCTGGGATTACAGGCTTGAGCCACCACACCCGGCCTTTTTTTTTTTTTTAGATGGAGTTTCGCTCTTGTTGCCCAGGTTGGAGTGCAATGACATGATCTCAACTCACCGCAACCTCCTGCCTCACCATCCCGAGTAGCAGGCAAATGCCACCATGCCTGGCTAATTTTGTATATTTTTAGTAGAGACAGGGTTTCTCCATGTTGGTCAGGCTGGTCTCGAACTCCCAACCTCAGGTGATCCACCTGCCTCGGCCTCTCAAAGTGCTGGGATTAAAGGTGTGAGCCACCACGCCAGGCCTTTTTTTTTTTTAATTCTTTTTTTTTTTTTTGAGACAGAGTCTCACTCCATCACCCAGGCTGGAGTACAGTGGCATGATCATGGCTCACTACAACCTCCGCCTCCTGGCTTCAAGTGATTATCGTGCCTCAGCCTCCTGAGTAGCTGGAATTACAGGTGCGCACTACCATGGTTGGCTAATTTTTAGTAGAGATGGGGTTGCGCTATGTTGGCCAGGCTGCTCTGGAACTCCTGGCCTCAAGAGATCCACCCGCCTCAGCCTCCCAAAGTGCTGGAATTACAGGCATGAGCCACCATACCCAGCCTGAAATGCTTTGAATTGTGCCTGGGGCACAGCATCCGTTTGATAAATGTCAGTTATTATGACTGTTTTGTTACCTGCCATTCTCCCCTAATGTCTTAACTGGACTTGGGCAGGCAGGGCTGACGGCACACGGCTGAGGGCTGAGGCAGCGGTAGGGAGAGCTGGCTGGGGGTTGCTGGAGCTGACCAGCTAGTGACAGGAGGCAAGACCATGATCTAGAGTGCCAGGCAGCAGATGGAAGGTCTTTTGGGATGCGTGACAGTCACCTAGGGTCCCAGGAGCCCTCTAGAGGGGATAGTGACACCTCGGGAGGGGCTTCTCTGGCCATTATTAAGGCATGAGAGGCAGGAAAGAAGACTTGCACCTTTAGGTTCCAGGAGTGCGGCGCTATTAATGGAAACCTTCCCAGGATGTAATCTCCTTGAGGGCACGGCCCGTGTCCTCTCATTGAGCATGCCCTGAGGGGCAAAGGGAGGGCTGAGAGAGGGCCCTCACCATAAGGTGAGGCAAACTAAGCAAAGCGGAAAGGGACAGATAAAGGGCTGGGGGTGCTCGGTACACACAGAGATCCTTCTGCATGGGGGTCAAGGGGCTTCCTGGAGGAAGTGGTACCTGACCTGGGCCCTAAAGTCTGGATGGAGGGCCCCACATGGCTCAAGGCCCGGGGATGGGAATGGGTCCAGCATGCTCACTCTTCCTGGCACTCACCACGGTTGGTGACAACGAAGATAACATATTCACTGAAGGCCTCAGGGCGTGTCAGAGCCATCTCAGCACAGATCTCTTCCACCACGTCCAGGGCCACCTGGGGGTGGGGCGGAAGAGATGAGGCCATGCCAGTTGGGCTTGACCTCTGTCCTTCTGGCCCCACTCAGGCCCCCGGAAGCCATGTGTGGAGTTCCTCAGCCCTCTTCACAAAGGCGCACAATCCTCTGAGGTCTCTGAGAATCAGCCTCAGGCAGGGAAAGAACACAGCTTGCGGTCTGAGACTTAGGTTCAAAATCTGCTTCTGTCCCGTTTTTGCAGGATGACCCTGAGCCAGAGGCTTAACCTCTCCAAGGTGCAGTTTGCTCTTCTAAGAAATAAGTCTTGCCTTTTGGGGCTGTGGAAGAGCCTGGGAGGGCTCAACATCCTTGGGGGCTTACTCCTCCCCCATCCTGGAGCCTGGGCTGTCCCTGCCCCTGCCCCTTCAGTACCTGGCTGCAGGAGACATTCCTTCACTTACAGTGCATGTTTTAATTTTGAGATGGCGTTCAAGGCCTCCAGGAAGAAGAAAGAGTTGCCTCTTGGAACTGCGGCCTGCCTGGGGATAAGTAGGTGGGAGAGGGATGACAGGTTGGGTCCTGGGATCTGGGACAGCCCTCGTCTCCTGCCGTGGGAGTTCCCAAGCCAATAGGTCCTGGGCTTGCACATGTAGGAACACTTGAGCACCTGGACTTTGCAGAGCCTGTCTGCATGCCCCTGAGTGCAATGCACCTGACAGAGAGGTCTCTGGGCAGGGCTTGTGTTCCCCATTCATTTTTGTGTGTGTTTGTTTTTCGACATGGAGTCTCGCTCTGTCACCCAAGCTGAAATGCAGTGGCGCGATCTTGGCTCACTGCAACCTCTGCCTCCTGGGTTCAAGGAGTTCTCCTGCCTTAGCCTCCCGAGTAGCTGGGATTACAGGCACCTGCCACCATAACCAGCTAATTTTTGTATTTTTAGTAGAGACGGGGTTTCACCATGTTGGCCAGGCTGGTCTTGAACACCTAACCTCAGGTGATCTGCCCGCCTCGGCCCCACAAAGTGCTGAGATTACAGGCACGAGCCACCGCGCCCAGCCTCCCATTCATTTTGAACCCACTCCCACCCCATGCTTACCAACATGGCGCGAAGCTCTATGCTGCTGGGGAGCTCCAGACGACCCCCGAAGCGCAAGGTTTTCTGCAGGTTCTGCTCACAGGCCTTGGCGATCCCTGCAGAAGCAGGGAGTCCAGGCCTTGCTCAAGGTGGACTGTGGGAGAAAGGGGCTCCTCTTGCCACCAACCATGAGCCCACTGCATTCTCTCCACAAGCTGTGGGGAAGGCATTTACTCCCCCATTTGACAGTTGAGGAAACAGTTCAGACAGGGACAGTGACTTGCCCAAGGTCAAGAGCTAGAGGTTAAGACCTGGATTTGAACCCACATCCCATGTGTCTAAGGACCTTTTTTTCCAGCCCACAGTCCCCTTGGCAACCTATGATCCTGGAAACTGCTGTCACCCTGAGCTGTTGACTGGGGAGCTTGTATCCAATAGGCTCTGTGGCTAGGGTGATGCAGCTCTGCTCATGCCAGCTGGGATACCCTGCCAACCGCCCTCCCTCACTCAGGCCTCCCAGGGCAGGAGACCCCAGCATCAGTGCTCCATTTCTCTGAGTCAAGAGTTCTAGGGCACATTCTGTTGCCTTTATGCATCTGGGAGCTATTCCATGGGGGAACTGGGTCTATTCATCTGTGGGCTGAATGTTTGTTAATTGAATCAGAGAGAAGCATTCAGAGGCAGGAAGGGTAAGGTCTCCTATCTCCTCCACGGCTGCCATGGTGACTACAGCGGCCCCAGCCTCCTTCTTCGGGAGCCCCAGGGGTTGCTATGGAAACCATGCTGAAGAGTGGCCCCCCTTTCTCCATATTCTAAGGGGGATGATACCAGCTTGGGCCCACCTCTGCCCAGATCCCTCAATACCCTTGCTGAGTCCCAACAGTCAGAGAGGCAGGGCTGCACCCCGGTACTCTGGATTCTTGCCCACCTCCTTCTCTTCTCCCACATGCCACACATTCCCACTCCGGTCTTTGCTCCTGTCACTCACTCCACCTGGAAACCCCTCCTATGCAAGGCAGTACTTCCTCCAACGAGTCATCCCTGACCACCCCCTCCATTAGATCAGACAAACCACCACGCCAGCCCCTGTGGAACCCTCACAAATGTTTGGGGAATATATTAATATTAGTAAATATCGCTCAGCACCTGTGAAAGTGAGGCCCTCTGGGTTTCCCCTCCCACCAGCTGCCCACCCAGTCCCCATGCGAGAAGCATGCAGCCCTGGGTCCCCACTCATTGACCTCTCACCCTGAAAGGGCAGGCCCGGGGTCCGGCTCACGTCGTGGAGGAAGCGAGTGAGGTGTGGGTGGAGGACCTCAGAGCAGCTGTGGTAGGCAGTCACGATGTATAGCAGCCTCCAGCCTCGCTGGCAGCTGTCCCTGCAAGGACACACGGGGGCCACATCACAGGTGGCCACAGCACTAGAGTGTGCCAGGAGCCTCCTGGGATTGAACTGAGACAGATTCCAACTCTCAGGCAGCTCCTGTCCCCTGAAGATGCTCCTCCCTGCCCAGTGAGGAGGCCCAGGGCAGGTGGGCCTTAAAGCCATGCAAAAGGCATATTCTGTTGAGAAGTCAGGATGGGGGATAGGGACGGAAGAGGATGGGGCCCCAGACATCTTCCCCAGGTAGGGGAAGTACTGTGACTTTTTCCTCTCCTATTCTTCTCTTTTCTGCGTCACAACAGGTAGGGGATCTCTCTAGGGAGGCTTCTGGGAAAAGGGGAACCTGCTGAGACTGTGTAGAGGTCATGCCAGGTAAGGCCCAGGGCTGGGAGGAGCAGGAGGACAAGCTGAGTGGTTCTAAAATTCCTGAGGAGATGGAGAGCAAGTGAGGAGGTAGTGCAGATGAAGACAGGAGGGTGGACCTGATGGTAACAAGAGCATGCACATATTGGGCACCTACTGTGTGCTGGCCCTGCATGAGTGGAACACAGTAATTCATCTTCACATGGTCGTGGGTGTGAGGGTTTCATTTGTAGGGATATCTGGTGTCTGGGAACAACACTTGGGCTTCCTTTGGGAAACCACCCACCCCGCTCTAGATCCCTGTGGTTTGGAGATGGGCACGGAAGTCAGGTTTGATCAATGTGAGCACTACAGCCCCTGACCACAGTGATTGGCCTAGGGATAGGCATAGTTGGTTCAGGGTTGAACATGTGACCAACTCAGGCCTGTAAGCCTGGATTTAATAATTTCTACAGCAGGCTGGGTGCGGTGGCTCATGCCTGTAATCCCAGCACTTTGGGAGGCCGAGACGGGCGGATCACGAGGTCAGGAGATCAAGACCATCCTGGCTAACATGGTGAAACCCTGTCTCTACTAAAAATACAAAAAATTAGCCAGACATGGTGGCGGGCGCCTGTAGTCCCAGCTACTTAGGAGGCTGGGGCAGGAGAATGGCATGAACCCGGGAGGCGGAGGTTGCAATGAGCCAAGATCACGCCACTGCACTCCAGCCTGGGCGATAGAGTGAGACTCCGACTCAAAAAAAAAAAAAAAAAGGAATTTCTACAGCAAATATTGGGTCAGTCTTGCTTTCTCTGGGATTGCTGAGCTGTCACCCCAGACCTGCCACCTTGCTACTCTGTGGGAGAGGCTGTTTGGGAATGATCAACACAGAGGAAAACAGAGCCAGAAGATGGAGAAAGCCTGCTTCCTAATGACACCTGGATCCAGCTATGCCTGAGGCCACATACTCACTGACTTTTCACTTCTCTGAATCAACAAGCTCCCTTTTGGTTAAATCAGCTTGAGTTGGGTTTCTGTCACTTGCAACTAAGAATCTGGACTTACACATTATCATTGCCATTTTACAGATGAGGGTACTAAAGTTCAGAGAGCAGAAATGCTGTGTTCCAGACCAAGTAATTTCAAAACACGTGCTCTATTGAGTAAGGACGAAGGTGAGGGGAAGAGAATCCAGGAGGGGTCAGGCCTGAGGAGGTGGGAGGCTGAACTGGCCCCTCCTGGAGCATGGACACAGTGAGGGGATGGTGGGGTATAAAGCCCAGTTCACTCACTGCTTGGAGCTGGTATTGTCTGTGATCTGCTTCACAACTTGGCAGTAACATTCATCCCGCATGACCTCATGGTCCCCGCACAGCTGAAGGAGGACAGGGAGGTTACACACCAAAGACAGGCTAGGGGCTATGTCACATACCAGGTACATAAGAACAGGGTGGGCACCTGAAGACAGGCCTGGTGTCCCTTTCCCAGCCCCCTCCCCATCAGCATGATGCATTCCTTTTTGGACCATGGGAGAGGTTTCCCACCCTAATGTCCTGTGACTCATTGACAGATGGGGAAACTGAGCCACAGAGCAGGAAAGGAGGCATCTGGCAAAGTTGGCTGGACTGACCTTCAGGAGGTTACAAAGCACGTCCAGGTCACTCTGGCCCTTCAGTGGGGCATCCCCCATGAACCTCATCACAGCTGTAGGAAAGACCTATCCCACTCAGACCCACCAAACCCCCAGTTGTCCACCCACCCCAGGACTGAGCCCCTCCCTGGGAGCCTTGGCCACAGGCAGCTGGGAGCTGCTTTTCTCTTAAATGTGTCCCACGTCTGAGCTGGGGGAGGGGAAAGAATCCGAAGACCAGGGAGGAGTGGCAACCAGTAGAGACCACACAGTGCTGGATCTCATCCAGCCCAGAGCCCTGGCTGCAGTCCCACTGCCACACCTAGGAACATGTCGGTGGCCATCTTGTTGAGGCTGTTGTCGCTGAGTTCGATGAGGGATTCCTGGAGGGGAGTCTGTGGGGGAAGAGGGGTGTGTCATGATGGAGGAGGGACACATCAGAACAGAAAGGGGACACACTGTTTCAAGGCCATATAACAGGAGGGTCCACGTCACAAAAGGGGAGCCAGGCCCAATACTGGGGACAGATGCTGTCCTTGGGAGGGAATCAAGGTGCCGAGAGCTAGAGGGTCTCACTGAGAACAAGTTTGTTGGCCGCAGGGGCCTGGGACGGGGCCCCTGCATCACCATTTTACAGATGGGGAACTGAGGTCCGGGACTGGACACCTTGGTGAAGCAAAGCATGTCCTCCAAGGTTCTGGACTCCCGAGCCTCCTTGGATTTCAGCCTGAGGCCATCCCTGCAGTGGGAGGTGGGTGCTACTGACCTGTCCTGCCCAAGCCTTGGCTACATCTTTTTCCACATAGGAATGTTCTTGACCCACCACTCTGATCAGTCTATCAGGCAGGAAGACCCCCAGAGGCAGGCACTGAAGTGGGCCTCACACCTGGGTGGTCTCTCATCTCTCCCACCAGAAGTGGGGCCTCTAAGACCGACAGCCTGCAGTTTGGATGGCTGCAAGAAGCCCAGAACCCTCCCACTGTGGGGAAGAGGGGTGGGGCCGCCACTCACTGGGGTCTCCTCTGAGGGTCTCGGAAATACTTCTGGGCAAACTCGAGCATTGTGTAGGGTGGGAGCGCCAGGGCATCCTCCCCATGGTCAGCAGAGTGGGCCCTGACTGGGGGACCCTGCAGAAGAGGTGGAGCTAGGAAGGCCGTTTCTGGCCACACCACGCCTGGCCCTTGGGTCAAAACTGACAACGCAATCCCTCGCTGATAGGACCCAGATTCTCAAGCCACCCACCCACCCATCCATCTGGACCCGGCTGCATCCCGTTGTTCTCACCCCTTCAGCCCGCCCACGCCTTTTACTTGCTGGGCTAACCCAGCTCCCTGCCCCACTTGGCCATGCCCTTGCCCGGGGTTGACTTCCCCAACTGCCATGTCACAGCTGACCCCACCCCTCGCTAGCTCCACAAACCGACCCCGCTCACTCACCTGGCCCCACCCCATCCCAGGTAGACTTCACCTACTGGCGGGCCCAGGCTGGTCTGACCCCACTGGACTGATTAAAACCAACTGATCCTCATCCTTCCCTACCCCATTTGGCCACACCTCCAACCTTCTCTGGTCCCATCTTCCAGGTCTCACCTCTGGCTCACTCTACCTCGTTCACCCTCACCCTAGTCCAAGATCAGCCACGCCCCAAGAGCCTGACCAGGCCTGTGGCCCACCTTATCCCCACTCGCCTCACCCCTTTTGCAGCGGTCCCTTCCCCCGGTCTACCCCGCCCCACCCCACCCACACTGGTCTCACCTCTCTCCTGCGGCCCACCTCCTGTGCAGCGGCTGCAGAGGCCACAGCAGCGGCCACGGCGGCTGCTCGGCCGCGGCCCGGCTCCGCTGGCAGCTGCAGGAAGTCGGGGGCAGCAGCGGGCTGCACCAGCTCCGAAGGGAAGTGGCCAACGCGCCCGTGGATGGTCCCGAACCTCCAGCCTAGGGGCGGGTAAAAGGTCTAAGGCAAACAGGAGGGTCTTGCCTTGTGACTAAGGGAGTCCTTTAGGGAGATTCGGGTACCTTCTTTATCTGTCTCTAGAACTGTGTGAGGCAGGCCAGGCCATCAAACCCATTTTACAGATGAGGAAACAGGCTCAGGGAAGGAAAGGGATTTTTCTCAGGGCCACAGGACCATAACGGGGAAGTGAAGCAAAAAGGCAAAGCAGGGTTTGTGGACTCTCAGGTCATGTGGAGACATAAAGAGAGATTCAGGGCGGGGCACAGTGGCTCACGCCTGTAATCCCAGCACTTTGGGAGGCGAAGGCGGACGGATCATGAGGTCAGGAGATCAAGACCACGGTGAAACCCCGTTTCTACTAAAAATACAAAAAATTAGCCGGGCCTGGTGGCGGGCGCCTGTAGTCCCAGCTACTCAGGAGGCTGAGGCAGGAGAATGGCGTGAGCCCGGGAGGCGGAGCTTTCAGTGAGCCAAGATGGCGCCACTGCACTCCAGCCTGGGCGACAGAGCAAGACTCCATCTCAAAAAAAGAAAAAAAAAAAAAGAGAGAGAGATTCAGGCCACAAACACAAATGCCCATGGAGACCCCTCAGGCAAAGCAGAGGGCTGGACTGTCTGGCCACCAACAGATACTGACAGGCCACGCCTGGACCTTAGGAGACCTGACCAGCCCAGACCACTTTCGGGCACCAAGAAACCCTCACTGTGCATCTGCAGCATGAGTGCGTGAAACTAGGATGCACCCTGTATGGGGTTCCAGGTTCTGGGGCACCCACCAAAGTCGGGACCTCTACGTCGCAGCTCCTCCAGGTATACCACCTTCTTGCGAACCACGCAGCCGGCACTGTAGCCTGTGGGCCAGGTTGGGTCAGCATCTGCCAGGGTGGCCTCCTTGGCCAGCCTCCGCCTCCTGCCCCCAACCCACCCCAGTGGCACTGACCCACTCGAGGTGGCTCTAGGGGCTGCAGGTGTATGATGTCGCCCTTGTGGAAAGCCAGCAGCGCTGGGTCTTCAGGCAGGAAGTTCTTCACAGCGACCACGTAGTCAGAGTCCTGGGTCAGCCAGGGGCAGGTTGAGGGCAACAGCCCCATCACCCCACTCCCAGAGGCCTGGGGCCAACCCTGCTCCTCACATCCTTCCTGACTCATCAGGGAAGGGAGCCTTCATCAGGTGAGAAGAGGGAAGGGCATTCTGGGTGGAAGAAAGGGCTGGAGGGTGAGTCTGAGGGACCCAGATGGACTTCAGGGCACACACATAGGCCTTCCCCACTCAAGCCCTCACTGACTTTCCTGCTGAAGTCTTCCTCGGGCCTAGGGCACAGAGATGACCTGCCCTAGGCCTGGGGGCTGCCAGTTAAGAGTGGGCAGAGGGGATGGAAAGAGATTGAGATGCAGTGGGTGGGCCATGCAGCCAAGGCAGGAGGGTGAGGAGTACAATTGCTGCAGAGCTCAGAGGAGGTGCTGTGCCACCTGGCAGGGTGCATTGGTAAAGGTTTTCTGAAGGAGCAGGCAAAAGGGGGCAAGGGTATTCCAAGTGGAAGGCACAGCTAGTGCAAAGGACTGAAGGTAGACAGAAGTCTATGGACACAGTCATACTTCCGAGGAAGGTGAGGCTAGTATATATGTGGGGTGGGAGAGCCCTGTTGCTGGCCCTCAGCCTGGGTGGAGGGAAGACCTGTGAGAAGATCCTTACCTTCTTCAGCTCCAAAATGAAGTCATCCACCAGGGTCTTGACCTGGTGTGCTCGGGCTGAGAAGAGGATGACCTTCTCACTGGCCAAGTTGAACTCCAGCATGTTCTGGGAGGGCATGGTCACAAACAGGATATCTGCAAAGCTGGAGGATGGGCCGGTGGCATGAGGGCAGGACTCCACAGCCAGAGGGATGCCCTCCTTCCACCTGTTGTGCTGCTTCTGCTCCTGTCCTGCCCCATTTGAAGCCCAGCCCCACCTTGGCCCCATTGTGCCAGCTCCCACAGGACCCTAAGCTTCCTGCTTCCCCTCTCTGACCCAGGCTGTGGCTTCAGCTCAGTTCCTACCACCCTTTGGGCCAACACTCCGGCCCCTCTCCACCCTTCGTCCTTTGGTCCAAGCTCTAAATCTAGATTTGTGCCTACCCAAATCTCTATTTCACCCATTGACCAAATTCTCACCATTTTTCAAAGCATGCAGCTTTTACCCAACCAGTGAACAAGGTTCTATTCCCGTCCTCATGTTATAAAGGACAAAAGGGACTTCTAGCAGGGGAGGGAGTCTGAGGACTCAGTAAGGTGTCACGGCTGGCAGTGGTTCCCTCACCAGCTGCATCAGGGTTTGGTCACTTCCAGCACAGCAGCCCCTCTGCACAGTGCTGCTGCTGTGCAGCAGGTTGGAAGGAGGACAGGGGAGTGGGTTCCCAGCTCAACCCCTTCCTGGCTGTGTGACCTGAGACAAACAACTTTTCTCTCTGAGCCTCAGTTTCCCCAGCTCTAAAATGGGTTTGCTTCAATGGCTTGGCACAGAGCCTGGCACATCATGGGTACTTGGTAAGTGGCTGTGGAGAGGAAAGAAATGCTGATGCCGGCCGGGCGCGGTGGCTCAAGCCTGTAATCCCAGCACTTTGGGAGGCCGAGACGGGTGGATCACGAGGTCAGGAGATCGAGACCATCCTGGCTAACACAGTGAAACCCCGTCTCTACTAAAAAATACAAAAAAACTAGCCGGGCGAGGTGGCGGGCGCCTGTAGTCCCAGCTACTCGGGAGGCTGAGGCAGGAGAATGGCCTGAACCCGGGAGGCGGAGCTTGCAGTGAGCTGAGATCCGGCCACTGCACTCCAGCAAGGGGGACAGAGTGAGACTCCGTCTCAAAAAAAAAAAAAAAAAAAAAAAAAAAGAAATGCTGATGCCAGTCTGTACCCCAGTCTCCAGCCAGCCCCTTCCGGTCACCTGTATGCACGCAGGACCCGCAGCTGCCCGCCAGCCTCCTGGCCACTTTTGACCATCCTCAGGAGTTTGATGCCCACGTGGGACACAGCTAGGAGCTGCACACCAGTGCCCACACTGCCCTGGGGCAGAGATAAAGGGCATGTGAGGGTCCTCTCGTCTCATCCCTGAATCATCTGGACAGGTAGGGGGCAGGTGAGGGACTCGCACCGTGGCAGGGAAGAGGCGGGAGAAGTAGACCTCCCAGGTGTCTCGTGCAGCACTGACCACGGCCCGCTTCACACTCTCTGTTACCAGGGGCCTCTGTGTGTCCAGCTGATTCTGGGCTATGGGAGGCCAGGTCTGGTGAGGACCCCCTCCCATTCTCCTGGCAGCCCCCATCTCGGGGATGTCAGGGAGGGAGGTGGCTGATACCCAGCAAGAAGGTATCTGACCAGTGTCTATACTGGGAAACTGAAACCCAGAAATGGACAAGATGGCCAGCACACACAGTGTGTCAGGCATTGCCAACCCCAAACATGCAGCCCAGCCATGCGAGAGGCCAGAGAAGCAGAGCAAGGAGGCACATGTCTGGGAGATGGTGGGTCTGGGCTTATCAGCCTCCGTCTCCCTCTGGGACAGGGCTGGCCGTGCCTCTGACTCGTTGCCCCATCAATACCGTCCCCTCCCCTGAGATACCAAACAAGGCCTTCATTCTGAGCCTCTCATCCTCAGAGATGCGCAGGCAGGCCTCGGAGAGTGTGTCGTGCAGGATCTGTGGGAACAGGCTGTGATGCAGGCAGCACATGGGACTCCCCCAGCTGGGACCCAGGTCGGACTATACTAGGGTGAGTGGCAATGTGGGGGGGTCCCATTTTGCAGCAGTGGGGTCATCTGTAAGCTGGTTCATCTGTGTAAATCAGATCCCACTGACAGGGCCCTCTCCTTTCTCCTCACCCCCACAATCCAGGCTGCCCTTCCTAGGCCACAGTTTCCTAATTTATACAGGGGGTTTACATTTGATCTCTGGGCCATGTCTAGCTCAGACAAACTATGACTCTCATTAGGTTGAACTGTGAGCTCACTGACCCTGCCCATGGGAGGGGGAGATTCAATAAAACAGCTGCCCATCCTCACCCTGGTCAAGGACCCCAAATCCCAGCATGCAGAGGCAAGCTTTGCAGCTAGCTCATCTTTGCGTCCACACTGCCCTGCTGAGTTCACTGAGGCAGAAAGGGGAGAGAGGACTTTACCTGCCGGAACAGGAGGTCAAGCTGCACAGGATGGCTGTAGCTGTCCTTGGGGTAAAACACCTGCAGGGGCGGGGCTTCAGTGGGTACCTTCCGACTGCCCCCTCCCTATGCTTCACACCCGGCCCCGCCCCCTAGATGCAGCTCCGCTCCGGCTCTAACTCCACCCCTGGCTTCAGCCCGGCTTTTTTCTATCCTGGGCTCGCTCCCCAAGTCCTAGACACTCCTCTACCCCGCTTCAGCCCCTCCCCTGGCTCTGGCCGTGCTCTGCACCTCTTTGCGCAGGAAGATCCTCCAGGGGGCGTCCTGATAGCCGTAGAAGCTGGGGTTGATGAGGCGGTGCAGCCGCGTCTGCATGGGTTCCTCAGGGGGCTCCAGCAACCGCGAGGGCAGAGCTGGGGAGCGCGGGGGTCAGGGAGGCAGGAGAAGGCACCTCATTTTTAAATTTAATTTTAACTTTTTTGAGATGTAGTTTCGCTGTTGCCGCCCAGGCTGGAGTGCAGTGGCGCATTCTCGGCTCACTGCAAGCTCCGCCTCCCGGGTTCAAGCGATTCTCCTGCCTCAGCCTCCTGGGTAGCTGGGATTACAGGCGCCCGCCACCATGCCCGGCTAATTTTTTGTATGTTTAGTAGAGATGGGGTTTCGCCATGTTGTGCCAGCTAGTCTGAACTCCTGACCTCAGGTGATCTGCCCGCCTTCCTCCCAAAGGGGATTACAGGTGTGAGCCACTGCGCCCGGCCACAGGAACCTCTTAGGATGAAGTGGGAAAGGCAAGGCGGGTGGAGGAGGGGACCCAGGGGCGGTCCACAGAAACAGCTGTTCACTAGGGTCACACATGACCCAGCCTTTCATTCAACACATAAAAACACCTATTGGATTTGGTTTTTTTGTTTTTTTGTTTTTAGATAGAGTCTTGCTCTGTCGCCCAGGTTGGAGTACAGTGGCTCTATTTCGGCTCACTGCAAGCTCCGCCTCCTGGGTTCAAGCGATCATCCTGCCTCAGCCTCCGGAGTAGCTGGGACTACAGGTGCGTGCCACCACGCCCAGCTAATTTTTGTGTTTTTAGTAGAGAAGGGGTTTCACCATGTTGGCCAGGATGGTCTCGATCTTTTGACCTCGTGATCCACCTGCCTCGTCCTCCCAAAGTGCTGGGATTACAGGCGTGAGCCACTGTGCCCCACCAAAACAACTATTGTATACAGGCCTGGGTTAAAGGCTGAGATGGCCCTGCAAATAAAGTAGACAAGGCCCCTGCCCTGGAGTTTAGTGCCCATGGCAGGTGTGGGTGGCACAGATCATTCAGAAACAAAACTCTCACTGCCTGAGGCTAGGGTGGCAGTAAAGCAGGGTGGTTTAGGACAGACCCTGGCGAACTGGTCTGTGAGGCCCTTCACTCCTAGCAGTCTAGGCAGACCTTGCTGAGGTGACAGAGGTGACATTTGAGCTGTGACATGAATGGTGAGAAGGAGCCAGGCATGCAAAGGTCTTGGGGAAGAGCATTCTAGGCACAGGAAACATGCAAGGCGGAAGTGGGCTTGGAGTGTTCCGAGAACAGAGAGGAACAGAATGTGGCAAGGGGAGGCAGAGAGATGAGGCTGGGGAGGTGGACACATCATGCAGTGTCTCATAGGCTACAGTGAGGAGTTTGGAGCTTATTGTAGGAGCCATCAGGCGTTTTTGTCAGGCGCAGGATGGGAACTGCTTTATAGCTGTTAAGATCACTGTGGCTGCCGAGAGACAGAGGGTGTAGAGGTTAGGGCTCCAACTGTGATGCCAGGAGGCCTCAGCTGATATCCCTGGTCTGACACTTTTGAGCTGTGTGACCTTGGGCAAGCCACTTAACCTGTCTGTGCCTCTATTTCCCCATCTGCAACATGTAGGAACAACAGTGCTACCTTGAAGGGTTCTGGTAGGATTACATAAGCTAGGATAGGCCTGGCCTGAGATCTGTGCTACTTAAGTGTATATTATAATTACACCAACGTGCTCACAAGATGTACACAGGGGCTCAGGGACACAGACACACACACTCCACCGACACACTCACCTGTGCCCCCAGACTTCCTCATATACTTGGACACCCTCCCCTCCTTCCCTCCTGGCCCTCTCACCTGAAGTGGGTGCCATGGATGGCCTTGGCACACTGGTCACCGGCTTCACCAGGGCCACAGCCTCTCTGGACACCTGTCCCACCCCAAAGAGACTGCTCAGGGGGCAACAGGCAGGCCCTGTGGAGGGGCAGTGGCAGGGCCACAGCTTGTAGGGGTAGCTGGTTTCTGAGGATCCCTGAGGCCCCTCTTTGTCTTCTGTTCCACCTGGGACCAGTCCCACCCTCCCCCTCACCTGGGTGCCAGGTGCAGCTGCCAGGTGAGTCATCTGCCCCTTCAGGATCATCAGGGCCTCCTCGTGGGGGTCTGGCTGCTTCATGAACACCTTCCCGCCATCCTTCCTGTGGGCATTGGAGTACTGTGGTGGGTTGACACTGAGTCTCCCTTTCCTGTCACATAGTTTGACAGTAGGGAACGTCCTCCTCCTCCACCACCACTCCCCCATCATTATAAACGAGAATCCAGGGAGAAGCAGAGACTGGCCTGAAGTCCTACAGCACAACCTAGACAACAGCAGGGCCTCATCTGGACTCAACAGTATAAACAAACTTCCTCCCTAACAGGAGCTGGGCAGGGTGTTTCAACTCAGTAAGCTGGTGGGCCATGATGGACACTCAGGCACAGTGAGGGGAGCGCTGGGGGCGGGGGCAGTGCTGACCTGAGGGCCTCGGGCCGGCCTCCCCGGAATGGCTGCTGGTACTGCCTGACAATATTCTTGATCTGCTGTGTGGGCTGTGGGAAGTGCTCCGAGTTGAGCGTTGAGTACCGGACCAACTCTGGGGAGGGTGAAGCTGTGGGCAAGGGCGGGTGGTGGGAACAGGGTGAGGCCACAAGGGGCACAACCACACCCCCAGGCCTGTCCTGGGAAGCCCCAGAGGCTGGGATAGGGCACTCACTGGTTTCTGGAGAAGCCTGATCCTGAGCTAGAACAGGGGCAGCCACAGGCTTAGTGGTGAGCCTTGGAGCCTTCAGAGGGGCTGGAGCCAAGGGCTTTGGAGTGACACGAAGAAGCACAGGTTTGGCAGGGGGACCGGTGCCTACAGACTTCGGCTGTGCCTCTGGTGCTGGGGGTTTCTGTGGAGAACAGGACGTGAGGATGGGCTGCTTGGGATACACCAGGCTGCTCTCTGGGACCCCAGATCTCTGTCAAAGATGGGTTGTGGAGCTCCTGGGCTCAGAGAGGCACAATAGTGCCCTAGAGCAGCACAGCGCTCCTCTTTACAGCTTGTGTCTCCAAGCAACCCCTGCACCCCGGGCAGGCCAGACTCACCTCTGTGGGCAAGGATCTCAGGGCAGCACTCAGGGGCTGCTGCTGGAGCGCCATGGCCTGCAGGGTCATCTCCCGGGCCTGGGGAGAGGTGGCCGTGGTGACCAGGCAGGTCCATTCTCCACTCCCCAGCAGTCCCTCCCTCACTCACCAGCAGCACGGCCTGTTTGTGGATGAAGGCTTGCTGTAGAGCCAATGTGGAGGCGTCCAGGCCTGGGACTGAGGGGAGGGGGCAGAAGGCACAGATGGCACCGGAGATGCCCTCCTCCCTGTCCTCTCACCCCCCATCATGCTGTGGCTGCCTCCATTCTAGCAAACAAAGGTGCCTGAGGACCGGCAAGTGGCTTTGGCCCTGCCCAACCCTGGAACCACCCGGGGAAGGCACTGACTTGGCTTTGGCTCTGGGGGTCTCCTGGGGGTGTCTTCAGTACCACTACTGCTGCCTCCACTGGGCTGGCCTCCCCCTTTCATTCGGTAGGCAATGGCTGTTGGCTTCTCCAGGTCCTGGGGGCAGTAGGTGGCTCAAGTGACCATCTCAATGTTGTACTCCCAAGGTTCCATGGCAACAGGCACCTGACACTGGCCATCTCCCCACCCTCTGGTGTTGGGGGACGGCCTCCTGCTGGCTCAGGGTCTGCTCTATGCTCAGCCTTTACCCTGATGGCATCCCAATCAGTCCTCCCCATAACCATGTGCGCTCCCAACCCATCCCCTCTTCCCCAGAGGAGTAAACTGAGGCTCAAGGAGGGGCTGTGCCCTGCTCAGGGCTGCATATCATGCCGGGGCAGTCGGGGTGGGGTGGGTTCTGGAATTTCCAGAGTGAGCAAGGGTATCTGAGGGGTATCATGAGATCTGGGGCCAGAAGACCCAGGGACCAAGGTCATTCAACTCCATCCAGATAGAGATATTTTAGTGGCCCCAGGGGGCTGGCTCCCAACAAAGGTGCACTTCTTCCCTTTTTTTTTTTTTTCTTTGAGACAGGGTCTTGCCATTGCCCAGGCTGGAGCACAGTGGTGCGATCACAGCTCACTGCAGCCTCGAACTCCTGGGCTCAAATGATCCTCCCATCTCAGCCTCCTAAGTAGTTGGGACTACAGAGGCATGCCACCACGCCTGGCTAGAGGTGCACTTCTAACTGTGGGTCCTTCCAGGATCAGCCAAGAGTATCTCTAGCTGTGAAGAGACCCTCATCCTTTGTCCAGCCTCCAGCAGATACCCAGATGGGACACACCACCCCATGACCCTGACTGTGAGAAGCTCTCAGGTCACCCTGTACAAGTGTGTGACTTGGGTGTACATGCTGTGCCTCCTGTCTGCAAATGACCCGCCCCACACCATCCCTACCGCATCCCCATAGGACAGCACGGGGTCGAAGAGGCTATCCAGGTAGCAGTCCAGCCCCTTGTGGGGCACAGCAGGCTCTCCAAGACTGTCTGACTCTGGAGGGGAAGGCACAAAAATATCAAGTTCTTTTTTCTTGATGATTTCCACCCCACACAGTCTCTAAGGCTCCCTTCCCACCAGAGACAGCAGCCATTGTTGGTTGACCTTGGTGGGTTGCTGTCCCTCTTTGGGCCTCAGTCTCCCCATTTGTACCATCCTCATTGTGGCTGCTGTACCCATCAGAGTCAGGTACTTCGTGCATGTGCTCCTGGGGCTGGGGTCTAGTGGGTGTGTCCTCATCCGAGTCCCAGCTGTTCCCAAACACCCTGTGGGGAAAAGGAACGTGGAGCTGCTAACCTTGAGAGAGATCCCAGAATCCCCCAAATTTTCCTCTGCACCCCAGAATTGGGTGGCTTTCTCCCTTTAAAAGCAGGATCCTTTGGTGAACTCTACCTCCTTAAGAACCTGAAGTCTAAGTTCCGGGCTCAGCCTGTCCCAGCAGCTGGGAGGGGCAGGCCTTCTGCCTGGGAGTGGCCATCTGTGAGGGGGTACCCCGTAGCTACCTACACTTTGGGGCCTCCCCTGCTGGTTACAGGCCCCTCTGCACCCACAATGAAGTAGGACTTCTGTCGAGGGAAGTCCCTGAGCAGCTCCAGGTCCGACACCAGGTCCAACACATAGTCGTGGCCAGCCAGCTCTGCCCACTGGACACCATTCTTCATGGCCACGGTCCAGCCACGCCAGCCATCTGCCAGCCCCCTGGTGATGGCACGCACAGGAATAGAAATGAGGGACAGAGTCGTCAGGCACTACCTGGGGAGATCCTGGGTTATAAGCCAGACTCTAAACATGAACAGAGTGGACCCTATGGGACCCTCTGGGGGATCTGACCTCCCCCCACAACATTCCAGGTACATAAGAGTATGCTGGGAGGGCATCCTAGGAGCCAACCTGTGCCTCAGAATGTCTCCAGCCACTTCTTCTCCCGTACTCCAGGAGTGCACCGGGCAGGAGAACTGGTCACCTGGGGCGCAGCAGGTGCTGGGCTCAGGTTGGAGCATCTGAGTCCAGTTTGGCTGTATCTCCCTGCTTGCTTCTTCCTCTCAGGCTTCTTGTATCTGTAGCCTCACTTCCCTGGCTCCCCTTTCCTGGGCCAGGTCCCACCACCCCCACACAGACTTTCACGCAGAGCCACATCTGAGAAGGCCCCTCCCCAGCTCCAGAGCATCCAGTGGCTTCTGCCATCCCCCAGGGCTCATTGGGCCCTGCTGACTCCCACTGCCCTCACTGAGGTGAGAGAAGGCAGCTTACCATTGAAGCAGCCCACGTCCAGCGCCATGTTGGCCTTCTCATAGGTCGCTGTCCACTCGAGCTGGGTCGGGGGTAAGGTGCGGGCAGCCCCCGAGCCCTGCTGTTGGGCCCGGCCCATGGCCTGCATGAGGCGATGCTGACACACAGCCTGGAAGCCATTCCGCCCATAATCAGACACAAACCTGATGGGTAGGAGTTGGAGCCGGGATCAAGAGGGATCTGAAGCTAGCTGGGGGCTGGGGGCTGCGGGGTGGGGGTAGGAAATTCTGAGGTTAGTTCGAGAAAGGCCCAGGCTATCCCAGAGCTCCAAGGTGAGGCTGCGAAGGCCCCAGGCTAGTTCAGAAGGGTCCCAGGCTACAGTCCAGTGCTCTGGGACTGCATTTAAGGGGTCCCAGGCTAGCTTACAAAGGATCTGTTTAGTTTAGAGTCCCATGGCTAAACTGAAAGGGTCCCAGGCTAGTCCAGAAGTATCTCAGGCCAGCACAGAGGTCCAAGGATAGGCCAAAGAGGTTCCAGCTGGTTGGAATAAAATGTCATTGACAGGATGGGGTCTGCAGCTAGGTGTGGGCAACAACCAGAACTCTGTCTTCACTCTCTCACAGGGCGACCTTGGGTGGTTATCTGCCCTCTGAGCCTCTCCTCTAAGTTTTCATCTATAAAAGGGACGGCTGAGGGTTCAACTCAACCCAGGCCCAATGAGCCCAATCCCTACCAGTCATTCCTCATGCTTCCCTCACCCCAACATCTTATACCCCCTGCAGCTAAGCCTGGCCAAGAGCAGCACTGGTGCAGGCCCATAGTAGCTAGAGAGGGAACCTAGCACCATGCCCTCAGGAAAGCCCTAGGCAGGCAGGCCAGCAATGGCCCTACCCTGCTGTCAGCTGCCACGGAGTCACAAGACTGGCCAGGTGATGTCCACCTGCTGCATGCTGGTCTGAGCAAGAGTCTGTACACTCCGTAACTCATGGAGGTGGGTTCTGTTGTCATCCCCAAATTATAAGGGAGAAACAGGTTCAGAGAGGGGCAGTGACTTGTCTCAAGCCACACAGCAGGTAAGTATCAAAGCTGAGATTCACACCCAGGGCCTGCCTGTGTGATCTCCTTGCAAATCATCCTTCTCATCCAGCAGGGTGACATCATTGTGATGGTTATACCCACATAGCACCTACCATGTGCCCCTCTCTGTTCTAAGCACTTCACGTGTGTTTATATATTTTATCCGCACAATAGCCTATGAAGTAGGTACTATCATTATGCCATTTTTTTTTTTTGAGACGGAGTCTCGCTCTGTCGCCCAGGCTGGAGTGCAGTGGCCAGATCTCAGCTCACTGCAAGCTCCGCCTCCTGGGTTCACGCCATTCTCCTGCCTCAGCCTCCTGAGTAGCTGGGACTACATGCGCCCGCCACCTCGCCCGGCTAGTTTTTTGTATTTTTTTTAGTAGAGACGGGGTTTCACCGTGTTAGCCAGGATGGTCTCGATCTCCTGACCTCGTGATCCGCCCGTCTCGGCCTCCCAAAGTGCTGGGATTACAGGCTTGAGCCACAGCGCCCGGCCGCCATTTTTTTTTAACATCAGACAGGGTCTTGCTCTGTTGCCCAGGCTGAAGTGTAAGTGGCATGATCCTGGCTCACTGCATCCTCAGCCTCCTGGGTTCAAGCAATGCTCCTGCCTCAACCTCCGGAGTATCTGGGACTACATGTGTGTGCCACTATGCCTGGCTAATTTTTAAATTTTTTGCAGATACAAGGTCTGGATACATTGTCCAGGCTGGCCTTGAACTCCTGGGCTCAAGCAATCCTCCCATCTTGGCCTCCCAAAGTGCTGGGATTACAGGCATGAGCCACTGTCCTGGTCTTGTGCTGATGTTTTAGCAAGGTTTGAGGGTGACACATCTCATGACTGAACATGAAAAGTCAATCATCACACTTATAAACTATAAAAGAATAACCCCCATTTGATATGTAAGGAAACTGAAGCCCAGAGAGGTTAAGTAACTTACCCAAGGTCACACAGCTCATATGGCTGAGCTGGGATTTCAACCCTGATTGCCTGAGTCCAGCATCCATGCTCCTGATCACCCCATTAAACTCTCATGCTGTGAGAGCTCAATGCTCTTTTCCAAATTCCCCACATGCCGGTCTTGTCCCACTCTGAGTTCTGGAAGTCCCTCATCCAGTCTGACCTAACTCCTAGCCCCTGCAGTGAAGGCCTGCCCTCCTTTCTTGCTCTGAGCCCAGTAGAAACGCATAGCAGCCCCTGGCCAGCCTCCATGCCTGAGCTTCCCAGCACAGAGATATGACTCCTGGCCTGACCTTTAAGACCCTGACTTAGGCCCCACTGCTGGTGCCACCATCCCTCATGTCCCAGCCCCTACCCAGTCCCACTCACTTGAGAAGGTACTTGTTGAAGCGCGGGGAAGGTGCAAAGCCACTGAGGCAGGTGGCCAGCAGCAGCCAGCCCCGCTCAGCATTGTGGGCATTGTGATTGTGCCACACCTGATTGGCCAGCTGTGCCAGGATCTCGTCCCGCAGCTCAGGCACCGCCAGCCCCTTCTGCACAATGTAGTTCCCGAAGATGTTCTCCCGGGCACCATGCAGGTGGGGGTCACCCATGAAGCGCAGGATCTGGGCCACGAACAGAGTTTCCTGGGCGTCTCAGAAAGTTGTTCCTTCCACTCCCCACCCCACAACATGCATCCCTCTCATATATATATATACATGGAGTACTTTTTTTGAGATGGGGTCTCTGTCACCCAGACTGGAGTGCAGTGGCGGGATCTCAGCTCACTACAGCCTCAACTTCCCTGGGCTCAAGTGATCCTCCCACCTCAGCCCCTCAAGTAGCTAGGATTACAGGTGCATGCAGCCACACCCAGCTAATTTTTGTATTTTTAGTAGTGACAGCGTTTCACCATGTTGCCCAGGCTGGTCTCAAACTCCTGGACTCAAGGGATCTGCCTGCCTTGGCCTCCCAAAGTGCTGGGATTACAAGTGTGCGCCACCGTGCCCAGCATACAACTGCCATATTCTATGCTGAATGACCAGGCAGTTTACCTAAACTATGGGAAAATTAAAGATCCAAAGTATGTCATCTTTCCTGTTCATGAACCTTCTAGAACTCCCCATGCAGCCCCAGCCCTCTCCCTGCACCGCTGGCCTCCAGTCAGCCCCCACCTCCTGCTCTATCTAGGCCACACAGTGTTCTTTTTAACATTCAGATATGACCACATCCCTCTCACAGAAGCACCTGCCTTGGCTCCCTAGGTCCCTTGGGATGAAATCTAAGCTCTGGGTCTGTAATCAAGGCCTCACTGGCCAGTCTCACCCTTGCCCTCCTGACTCCGTTCTGACCATACCAATTTTCTCTTCTCTGTGTACTTTCTCCACTCTCCCTGCCTGGCAAATTCCCCTCCAGCTCAAATGCCTTCTCCTCCAGGAAGCCCTCTCTGGCCCTGCCCAGGGCTGAATTAGTGGCCCCATCAGACTCCCTAGCCTTGGTGCTTCCCTCTGTCCATACTGGTGGTCACTGGCTGGGTCAACTCTGCCTCCCCCTTCAAACTGAGAAGTCCTTAAGGAGAAGGTCTGGGTCTCTTCCTGGTGTCCCCAAGAGGCTCCAAGGCAGCCTTTTTTTTTTTTTTTCGCCAGGAAGATGGCTGGGAGAAGAAAAGTCACCAGTCCTCAGAGAGGAAGCCAGATCTCCCCCTCTGACATAAAAGTCCCTCCTTTGGGGAAGAGGTGTGGGGCTCATGGATTGGGCTTGCGGGGGGCTGGGAAGACTGGGAGCCTCATGGCCCAGCTTCAGGGCCAGGGGCTATGAATTAGAAGGTGGGCTGGGGCAGACCCCATACCAGCTTGAAGACGCTCACGGCTTCTGCATGGTGCTCGGCGGGCAGCTGCGTGAGGGGTGTCCTCAGGGGCACTGTCAGCATCCCAAAGGCAGGTTCCTAGGGCACAGGGCAGGCACATGAGCAGACACAGCCGGGACTGACAGGCACATCTGGACCCACTGCTCCATGCCACATGGGACTCCAAGGCCTATGAGGCAGGGGCTTCGGTCCTCAGTGTATGGATGAGGAAACTGAGGGCTGGTGAGGGGCCACCACAGTGGCCTTCAGCAAGTCGGTGGTAGGGACAGGATAAACCCTCATCTGGAGGGGAGGAAATCAGAGCTGGGCTGACATGCTATAGCTCCACCAGTTGTTCAATTTCTGAAATATTTCCAGACTGGTTGGTGGTAAACAGCCCTGCCCGAGCCCTGAGGGCTCTCCACTGCTATCCAGACCCCAGGGATCTCCCAGATTCCCTATAATGCAGCAACTAAAAGGTTCATACCCAACACCACAGGGCGCAGCCAGGAGCTTGCCCCAGGGCAAGGACAATGTCCATTCGAATTGGTCAGCATCTATCAGTCAGGGCACCTTGGACCTCAACTAGCCCTTACCTTGAAGTGGCACCGGACAAACTTGGCCATAGGATAGTTGTTGATGTCCAGGGGCAGTGTGACACGGGGCTCAGCCTGGAGCCGAGGAGTCCGCACAGGGGCCACCTGAGGCACCTGGGCCAGCCTGAGGCCTGTGGAGAGAGGAGGGAATGCGGTGCCTGCTCTGATCTGCCTGTGCCCTCCCCCCACCTGGCGCTGACCCACCTGCCACTGCTTGCAAGAGCCCAGCCAGCTCAGCCGGTACCTCCAGGTGCCCCACAGCCACTACCTCCCGCTTGCTCAGCTCCTGGAGGGACAGTGCATGGGGCAGACAGGCCTGCCACATCCCCACCTGCCAGCCTCCCTCCTTGACCCTGCTGCCACCCAGACCCACACCCACCTCCTGCTCCCGCAGCCACACCCCCTCCACCTGGCACCTCCACTCTGCCCTCAGCTTCAGGAGAGCAGATGTCAAGGTGGGGAGCTGCAGGCAGAGGTGACGATGGGCACCCAGGCAGGCCAGGCCAGCTTATGCAAGGTGGCCACACTCAAGCAAGGGGGACAGTTTGCCTGTTGTGTGGAGGTGACTGCCCCCCTCCACACGTGGGGCAGGAGGCTGAGGTTGGCCAGAGAAACAGGGAGGGGAAAGGAGAGAGAGCAAGACAGAGACAGAGGCAAAAGGCGGAGGCAGGAAAACGCTGGGGAAAGAGACACACAAGGAGAATTTCTGGGAGGTGGCTGAGCACTGCATCATGGGAAGCCCTCCTCTGCAGCGCCACAAAACCTTCAGTAAAGGCTACCTACTGCTTCACTGCTTTGGGAACTGCATTTATCTTTCTGGTTGCTGGTTTACATGACAGTGGGTCAAGACACGAAGGTAAGAGCAAAACCATACCCAGTGACGTTCAGGTCGCCAAATTCTAACGGTCCTCAATTCCTGAAGCCCCCACTGTGAACCCAGCACCAGCCCAAATCCTTCAATGCAACATCTCGTTTAACCCTCTCCACAATCCCAAGGGGTAGATGGGAAAATTGAGGATAGACAATGGCCAAGGTTACAGAGCTAGTGGGTGGCAGAGGCAGAATTTGAACCCAAGACGGCCTAAGGCCAATGGTCTCCTCTTGGGTGCTAAGTGCCTTTTCCCCTTCTCTGCTGTCCCCTTGGACCCAGATAAGGTAGAGCCTATACCTTGAGATAGCGTCGGCGGCTCATGTATGCGTGTACCAGGGACCGGAACTTCACCAGACTCCTCCTCATCTGCTGATAGCGTTGCCTGGGTTGGGGGAGTGGGGAGGTCAGGGATTGGGGCCACAGGGTGACAGGGTGATCAAGGGGCAGAGAGGCCCTTGCCAGCCTGGCCTGGGAGCCAGTGCCCACATCTCACTCTTGGGGTCCTTTGGCACAAAGGGAAACTGGAGCTCAGAGAGGGGCAGTGACTTGGCCAAGGTCACACAGCAAATTAAGTAGCAAGGCCTGGATTAAACCTGCCGGAATAATTTATTTCCCAACAGTTTATAATCTCAGGGTCCCTGAAATGCAGGGTAAGGTCCCTCTTGGCTGAATGGATTCCCACCCACCAGTTACAAGGACCTGGGGTTGGCTGGGAAGGACATTCAAAAGCAGAGACGCAGAGAATCTGATCATCCTCCTACAGAGGCCTCCACCCTCAGCTTGCATGCTTCCAGGGATAGGGAGCTCATCACCCAAGGTCAGGCGTGGCCTCTCCTGAGCCTGACCATAGGTCTCCTAGGAATCCTGCCTTTTCTGTGCCTCACCTGGCAAGGTAGCCACGAGCCCGGCTTTGCAGCAGGATGATCTTGTGGCGCAGAGAGCGGAATCGCCGCTTAATGAAGAAGCCACGGAGGCAGCGCTGCAGCGTGAGGGCTGCCAGATTCAGGACATGCTCTCGCATACTCTCCAGCAGCTGGTATAGGTGTTCCTTAAGGAACAGCTGAGGGCAGGAGGAAGGCACTGAGGCAGATAGGAGCCAGGAGGCTGGACTAAGGGCCCCTCCCTCTCTAGAAGTCCGTGGAGACAGAATAGGCAGGGCAGCCTCCTAGAGCGGGGCTGGAGGATGGGGTGGATTTGGAGAGGTTGAAGGATGCTGGTGAATCCGGTAGTTAGCATTCCATGTCCCAAGCTCATCTGGGTTGCTCCTGGGACGGCAGTCTCTAGCTTGGACGTTTCTGACTCAGTAGTTGTGGAGCCCCCGAACTTGGGGTCTCCAAGGGCTGACTGTGGGGCGGGACTCACCTTGCTGACCCCAACACGGTACATGTTTGGCATGACTTTGCACAGGCGACTCAGCACTGACACACACATGTCCCCATTAGCCGGCAGGTCATGCTTGAGGGCCACTAGACAGCAGTACCTGGCAGGGGGCCCAAACTCAGTCTGAGGCTATGAGACCTACCTGGGGTGCCTGCTAGACCATGGGGTTACCGCCCCCAGCCCCGTGTCCAAAAGGCCTAGTCCCAGTGGTGGCTCCACGAATAGTTTGTTGTAATCTGAAAAAAGGCACTCCATCCTCAAGACTCTTTACTTCTGGGTGTCAGACAATTGTTATAATAGATGATTTCAGTAGAACAGGACACTTGACTGCCACCTGCTGGAAACTTGTCATTGTAACTACTAAAATCATTCTAATCAACACGGAGGGTTGATTATACATGTTATATGTTATACAACATATAACTACAAAAAAGGCAATACAATAAATGTATCTACCACATAACAGCTAGCATGTGGCAGCCTTGTGAAGTATACAACCTGAGCAACTGTGCATGGCAAGCCCTGTACTGCCTGGGTTGTGTATTCCTGGGGCCATGGGGACTTGGGCAGGGATTTGTAGAGCTCAGGAACTACCCTAACCAAGATACCTGTCGATGAACCCTTGGAAAGGCAGGCGCACTGGAAATCCCTCCTTGCGGATCCTCACGGTCTCCAGCACCCCTGAATAGCGTAACTGTGCCATTACCACATCTGGCTCAAAGAGATTTGGCTCCTGTAGGGATGCCCAGAGAAGGAGTCTGCACATTGGCTCAGCCATGTGCAAAGGGCACAGTCATGGTGAATAGTCCCAATGCTAGGCTGGGCAGATGCAGGTCCAGAGAGGCCAAGCCACTTGCCCAAGGTCGCACAGCATGGGCAGGAGGATTTGGCTCTCTCAGAGGCCTCAGCTCTCACTCACCTTCTTGTGGTTGGGCTTCAGGCAACGCATGAACAAGGGGTTACACCTGGTAGCGGCAGGAAGAGGACAGCGTGAGGCCTCAGAAAAAGAAGGCGCTCACCCTCTGAGGGTCATGAGGTGGGTTAAGGATGAGACTGGGTGCTCCGCCCACCTGCCCCCCACCCCACCTCTCCATCTTTTCCACCAGATCCAGGAGTGACTGCTGGAACTTGGCAGCCACGGTGTGTGCCTTGTAGAGCCGAGTGACGGAGCTGCTCTTGCCCAGGCGCTGAGGGGCAGCCTGTGGGGCATGGCTGGAGAAGAGGTGTGCCACCACCTGGGCAGGGGTCAGGGCAGGGAAAACAGGCAGGGGCCGGGAGACCGAAATGAGGAGGAACAGAGAGCAGGAGTCAAATCTCTGAACCAGGGGGATCTGAAGACTAACTGGACCCCTGTTCTCTCTGCAAGGCCTCTGTCATCCTAACTTACATGCTTCTCAAAACAGGTAGGGCTCAGCACCTTCCAAGGGATCCATCCCATAACTGGCTTTTTCCCCTTCAGTCTAAGGAACACACAGTCACTGACTGTGTGCCTGGCCCCAAGGTGGCCTGTTAGACACATGGTTGTGAACTCTGGCTATGACCTCATGAGGAGGGTGCCCAGTGGACAGGAGGAAGGGGAGGGCCAGATAGGGGAGGTGATGTTACCAGGCCTGTGCTCTGTCATAGGGCCATCTGCTGGCCGTAGTGTAGCTGGGATGCAGGGCCTCCCTAAGCCTTCAAGGAACCCAAAGTTGGTACCCCAAGCTCTCCCCTGGGGCCTTATGGGTAGTGTGGGGGAAACTGAGAATACCAGGAGGTGGGATTGGGGGAACAGGTCTGGCAAGAAGCCAGGAGAGAATGGGCCAGGGAATGGGGTGGGGCCCGGAGTGGGGTAAGTACAGGGCAAGGTCACAGCTGGTGGGGTACAGGGTTAGAATTGTGAGTGGGGCCGGGCTCTAGCCACTGGGGCTGTCAGGAGCCAGATGGCAGGATCAGGATGAGGAGCCAAGCTAGGCGGGAACAGGCCAGGGACAGGGTGTCCAGGCCACCCTTGTCTTTGGCCAAAGCTAAGCGGAGCCAGGACGTGGCAACATGGTCTAAGGCCTGCAGGCGGGCTGGGTGTGGGTGTGGGGCCATGCGTGGGGGCAGGGCCAGAGTGGTGGAAGGCGAGGCTCACCCGTGTCCGGCTCCGTACGAACAGATCCAGCACGTCCTGGCGCACTTGGTCGTGGTTCTTGTCCAGGAACTTGTGCACCTGCAAAGGGGAACAATGGCCCGGGTAATCCTGGCCTCTGTCTCTCTGTCTACCCTAGGAGGGACTGCATCCTCCTCACCTCTATGGTCCTACCTCTCCAGTCCCCACCATTCTCCCTATTCCTGGGGGAGGGGAGCATTCACCATGGCTTCACATGACCAACCTGGGTCTTGGCCTCACCCTCAGTGAAGGACATTGTCCTGCACCCATTCTACAGATGAGAAAAGTAAGGCCTGGATGGGGACAGAGGCACGGAATCCTAGCCTGAGACACCTCCAGGGCAGGAATGTACCTCAGATAATAGTGATGAGGGTGACCACAGTGAAGTCACTATTGATGAGCTACTCTTTATCAAACCCACCCTATATTTCTCACACCCACCCCATGAGTTGGGCACTATTATTATCCCCATTTTCCAAGTGAGAGAACTGAAGCTCAGACTAGCTAAGCAATTTGCTCAAGGTCACAGAGCTTGGGCACAGCAGAGTCAGAATTGGACCTGGGTGTGAATGTCTGGGGCCAGTGTTGTGCTTCTGTGTCTCCAACAGCTAGCAGCACTGCAGCACCAGCGGCCAGGCCGACTGTCTCGGGGCTCACCTGGTAGGTGACCTTGCCTGCATAGTGCTTGATGGTGAACTCAGGCAGCGGCATCTTGGGTTTGGAATAGAGCGGGTTGGCGCCATGATGGTAGTGGCACTTCTGTAGGAAGGTGTGGTCTGTAGCCTGGGGGCAATTTAGGGATCAGTGGGTGGGCAGGGGGCCTGGACACTCTGTTCTTGGCCTGGTAGCAACCTCACTATCCCCGACTGCTCCCAATTGAGCACCAGAGAGGAACAACTCACAGCTTCCCATGGCTACCCATCTCCCTGGGTCGGAAGGCAAGTGCCTTAGCCAGGCACTGGAGGCCTAAGTGGTGCCTTGAAGATAGGCATGGCTGAGTGAGCTCCTAACTGCCTCCCCTCCAGGCCAACTGCCTTTGCACTCTATTGATCTCACTGCCATTCCACCCTTGTGTTTTGCAATCAGGATTTGAGGTCCAATCCCAAGGTTACCTACTCCAGGAAACCTTCTGTGACTTTCCAGGCTGGTGCAGCCTCTCTTCTGAACACACATAGCTGCCCATCTGGCCTCAATCACCCCAGGATGTGAATAGTAGGTCGGGTATCCCAACCCCCCACTGCCTTCCTCAGGCCAGAGCAGAGAGGAATGAAGGAGTCAGGGTGGGATGAGGACATGAGGTTGAGAGATCTGTGACCTGACTAGGCTCACACAGTGCCTGCAGCTCACCTGGGGAAAGCAACACTGGTCATCGAGGATTCGCAGGATGCCATAAGGTTTCAGTGAGATGAGGTTGATGCAGGGCTGGTTGTCAGCAAAGGTGATCTCCTGCCAGTCGATCTGCTCACGGATATACTCCTCCTGCAGGCAGTGGGCAGCAGGAGCTCAACCTCCCATCCCTGTCCAGGGCCCACCCACCCTACCCACCCTCCCTCCCAGGCTGAATCTAAAGGAGCCTGGCCAGCAGCACCTCTGCTTGCATACCTCCCAGAACAGGGAACTCACCCCCTGATAAGGCAGCATGAGCCAACTCAGGGTCCTACTGCTCCCTCTGCCTGGGACAGCCCAGTAGAGGAGAAGGACCCCCCAAGGGGACTCCTCTCTGAGCACAGCACCTCAGCACCTTTCCCTCCAGAACAGAGACCTTCCCATGGGCTGGTCCCCAGCTTAGAATGCCTTTTCCTCCGCTGTCTACTGATGTCAGAATTGCCCTTAAACAACCAGTATATCCTCATCTGTCTCCACGGAGGTCCACTGGCCAGTGAAGACAGGGACAGGAGTATTAATGGGGCCCACACACCTGCTCCTCCTGGAAGACAATCTTGTTGAAAAGGTACTGAAGGTTCTCGTTTGCGTAGTTAATACACAGCTGCTCAAAGCTGTTGAAGCTCAAGTCCTGCCAGGTGGATGGGGAGGCTGGGACTGGTCCTTCCTTGGCCACCAGCCTGTTTGCCCTGCCTTCCCTGGTGGCAACTTCAAAAAGCTGGAGCTCAACCACAGACCCTCAGCTTGGAACCCTCCACGGCTCCTGCTGCACCTGACAGGCAGTGGCTGATGGCCAAGGCTCTGGGGCCTTCTGCCTGGGTTCAAATTCTGGCTCGGCCACTTTCTAGCTACATTACCTTGAATAACAGCCCCATGCCTCAGTTTTCCCATCTGTAAAATGAGGATACTGACAGTACCTGCCTCACAGGGTTACTGTAAGGATGAAGTGAATTAACGAAGTGCTTTGAACAGCCCCTGGCACATAACAGGTGCCAAGTGAGTGCCTGTGATGGCCGCATCGTGCTCTTGCCCCGTCCCTCGCCACTTCCTTTGCTGTGCACTGGCACAGCAGTCACCCCTCCCCCCGACACAAAGTCCAGCCCCACCACCCCTCCCAGCCTTTGCATATTCTGTTCCCTGCACCTACAGTGCCTTTGCTGGGTCTCAGGAGTGTCTCGTCCTCATCCAGGAAGCCTTCCCCATTCCTGCCCAGGTGAACTAAAGGTGCCCACTGGAGCATATGGGCTTGTCAGAGTCTGCCCCCACCCCCACCCAGCCTCACCTGGAAGCTCCCCAAGCTCCCCTGGCTGGTCCTTTCTGGGCAGCTGGTATTGCCCAGCACAGAGCCTGGCTCGGAGGCCTTGGGGGTACTTGTGGTGAGTAAAGAAAATGAAAGGAGACAAGGGAGATGGTGACAGGGAGGGGTTCATGAAGGGAGGATGGCACCTGCTGCAGGCACAGAAAGGGATGGGAAGGGCAGCCTGAGACGCCTGAGGGAGGTGAGACCTTGCCTATGTCCCCCGCCCCTCAGCCTCCTACATGGCCCCACCTCGAAACCATAGATGTCCAGGATGGCGATGGACAGCGTGTCCTGCCGTGGGGACACCAGTGCGTTGACCCTGGTGATGAGCCAGCTGAACAGCAGTGCATACAAGACCTTGGCGATGGCGTCCCTGAAGCAGAGGTGGTACTGGTGTGAGCAGGACACTGTGTGGGGTGCTGGGCCTCGGGGCTCAGGCAGGGCAGGGCGTGGCCTCACCTGGCATCCACAGCGCTCTCCACAGTTAGGGGCGTGAAGATCTTCTCTCGCATTGTCTCCTAAGGAGGGGCACAGCCCTTGAGTGACAGCAGGCTGGCCACTGCCTCCAGAAAGCCCCCAGGGGACTAGGGGAGTGGGAGCATGGGAAAGGGAGGCTGGAGGGATATAGTGACTGTGCACACAGAGACTAGGCAGGACCACCCCCGCCCCCACCCCAACTCCGCCTGGCAATGCTGGTAGTGGTGGGGACTGCAGGTCTAATGGGGGAGCCAGAGGCATCAGCAGATACAATGAGATCAACCCCGGGAAGGGGGAATGGGCCTAGGACTGAAAGACCAGATGAGGCACTGACCCGGCCAAAGATTAGGGAAGGCTTCTTAGAGGAGAGGATGCCTGGATAGGCTCTTAAAGGATGAGTAGGTGTGAAAAGAGGAAGAGCATTCCAGGTAGAGGAAACAGACTATGCAACAGTCTGAGAGTGGAATCTGAAATGTCTTTGGGGTCTGAAATTACTCCCCTCCATGCCTGACCCAGGGACAGAGAGAGCAGGAGAGAGGGAAAGGCTGCCCACGAAGGATCAGCACAAGGCAGCTCTGTCCAGGCCCTGGTAGAAAGCTTTGTTTGAAGGCCAGATGCCCACAGACTCACGGTCACTTTGAAGGTGATGGCCTTCTGCAGACCCTCAGGGGAGATCTGCAGCAGCTCTGCCACGGCCTGGATCTCCCGGGCACTCACCACTGAGGCCACCTCCTGTGCATCCATCTATGCAAAATACCAACAGGAATGTGCTTTGAACTAGAAAAGCTGAATTTAAAGTTCATATGAAAAACAGGGCCAGGCACTATGGCTCACGTCAGTAATACCAGCACTTTGGGAGGCCGAGGCGGGTGGATTAGCTGAGGCCAGGAGTTCGAGACCAGCCTGACCAACATGGAGAAACCCCATCTTTACTAAAAATACAAAACTAGCCGGGCATAGTGGCACATGCCTGTAATCCCAGCTACTCGGGAGGCTGAGACAGGAGAATCGCTTGACCTGGGAGGTGGAGGTTGCAGTGAGCCGAAATCGCGCCATTGTACTCTAGCCTGGGCAACAAGAGTGAAACTCTGTCTCAAAAAAAAAAAAAAAAAAAAAAATAGCCACACACGGTGGTGGGTGCCTGTAATCCCAGCTACTCGGGAGGCTGAGGCAGGAGAATCATTTGAACCCAGGAGGCGAAGATTACAGTGAGCTGAGGCCGTGCCATTGCACTCCAGCCTGGGTGACAAGAGTGAAACTCCGTCTCAAAAAAATTAAAAAATAGAAAACAGAAACAGGCTGGGCACGGTGGCTCATGTCTGTAATCCCAGCACTTTGGGAGGCTGAGGTGGGAGGATCGAATGAGGCAGGGGGTTCAAGACCAGCCTGGCAACATAGTGAGACCCTGTCTAAAAAATGTGCTGGACATGGTGGCCTAAACCTGTAGCCCCAGCTACTCAGGAGGCTGAAGCAGGAGGATCGCTTGGGCCTAGGAGGTTGAGGCTGCAGTGAGCTATGACAGTGCCACTGTACTACAGCCTGGGCCATAGAGTAAGACCCTGTCTCAAAAAATAAAAATTTAGGCCGGGCGCGGTGGCTCACGCCTGTAATCCCAGCACTTTGGGAGGCCGAGGCGGGCGGATCACAAGGTCAGGAGATCGAGACCACGGTGAAACCCCGTCTCTACTAAAAATACAAAAAATTAGCCGGGCGGTGGGGCGCCTGTAGTCCCAGCTACTCGGGAGGCTGAGGCAGGAGAATGGCGTGAACCCGGAGGCGGAGCTTGCAGTGAGCGAGATCCGCCACTGCACTCCAGCCTGGGCGACAGAGCGAGACTCCGTCTCAAAAAAAAAAAAAAAAAAAAAAAAAAAAAAGCCGATTAAAAGAAAAAAAACAGTGTACTCATAGACACAGTACATAAATAGATTAACAAAGCACAATAGAAAGTCTGGAATTAGACATAAATGTATGTATAAACTTAGCACATGATAAAGATGTATTTTTCTTTCTTTTTTACAAATAATTTTTTTTTTATAGAGATGGGCCCTTGCTATGTTGCCTAGGCTGGTCTCAAGCTCCTGGGTTCAAGTAATCCACCTGCCTTGGCCTCCCAAAATGTTGGGATTACAGACACGAGCCACCATACTCGGCTAATGAAGATGTATTTTTCAAATCAAGAGATTAGGACAATTAAGTAAACATCTGGAAAAAAAAGTTGGATTCCTACGTCACACCTTACTAGGATAAATTTGGATGGATCAAAGATTTAAATGTTTTTTAAAACTCATAAAATCCATAAAAGGTCTTAGAAAAAGTTATGGAAAAAGGCTGTTACAATTTTAGGAAGTTTCTCTAAAAATGAAAAGAAGTTTAAAATTTCAAATGTAAAATTTAAATATACTAGAAAAGATTGATAAATGAACTACCTAAAAATAATTTTAAAACAATTTGCATAAAAAACCCAACAGGCCGGGCTTGGTGACTCACGGCTGTAATCCTAGCACTTTGGGAGGCCGAGGTGGGCTGATCACAAGGTCAAGAGATCAAGACCATCCTGGCCAACATGGTGAAACCCCATCTTTACTAAAAATACAAAAATTAGCTGGGTGTGGTGGCACACACCTGTAGTCCCAGCTACTCAGGAGGTCGAGGTAGGAGAATCGCTGGAACCTGGGAGGCGGAGGTTGCAGTGAGCTGAGATCGCGCCACTGCACTCCAGCCTGGCGACAGAGCGAGAATCCATCTCAAAGAAAAAATAAATACATAAAAATCAACAAAATAAAATAAAATAAAATAAACACCAAAGGGTTGGGCGCGGTGGCTCACGCCTATAATCCCAGCATTTTGGGAGGCCGAAGTGAGTGGATCGTTTCAGGTCAGGAGTTCAAGACCAGCCTGGCCAACAGGGTGAAACCCCATCTCTACTAAAAATACAAAAATTAGTGGGGTGGTAGTGACACGTGCCTATAATCCCAGCTAGTCGGGAGGCTGAGGCAGGAGAATCACTTGAGCCTAGGAGGCAGAGGTTGCAGTGAATCAACAGGAGTGAGCCAAGACTGCACCATTGCACTCCAGCCTGGGCGACAGAGTGAGACTCCTCCCCACCAAAAAAAAAAACAAAAAACAAACAAAAAACAAAAACAAAAACAAACCACCAAAAGCATTGTAAACAAAGTTAAAACATAAATGACAAACTGGAAGATATATGTGCAATTCATGTCAGAGACAAAGGGCTGATTTCCTTAATACATAAAAGGAGGAAAAAGATGGACAACCCCAAAGGAAAAGGAAAAAAAACAGGAACAAGTGATGTGTGAAGAGTGTAATCTGAAAGGGAAACAGAGAAGGCCTTGGAAAAGACGGCCAAGTCCAGAGGGTGCGGGCCCCATGGCAGGCTGTGGCGTCCCCTCACCTCATACTTCTCAAAGTAGACATTGCCCAGGTGCAGGATGGAGGCCAGGATGCGGAAGATGCTGTCCTGGTCCTCGCTGCTGAAGCCCAGCACCTCCATGGCAGCCAGGAGTCGGCGAAAGTCATCTGCATCGCTCTTTCCTGCTATCTCACAGTTCCCACCCTGCGTGAGGGCAGAGGCTGAGGATCAGGGAGCTTGGGTGGGGCTGGGGAATCCTCCAGGTCCTGCTCTGCCCTGACCAGCAGTGTGGCCTGAGCTGGTCACTCAAGCTCTCACTCCACTCTCATGGGCATGGAGGCTCTGAGCAGGGCAGAGGACAGGGTTCATAGATTCCAAGTGCAATGTGTGGCAGTGGTTGTCACCTGTTGACCATTGTAGCTGCCCAGTGATAATAATGAAAAGAGTAGTCAGTGTTTACTGAGCATGTACTGCATGCCAGGCCCTGTGTTAAGCTCTTTACATGCATTTCCTCATCTAAGCCTCACTACATCCCTGCAAAGTGGTACTATGTTGTCCCCATTTTACAGGTGAGGAAACTGAGTTACAGAGTGGGGAAGTGTAGTAACTCTAGACTGGTAGGTTCTGTTCCGGGTTCCAGAAAAATGAAGTCAGGTAGGCCTTTCCTGCTTCCACTTTGGACCCAGAAGACTCCTGGTCCCCCTCACTGTGACGAGATGTCTTAAATCCAAACTCACTCTCCCCAAATCTCCATCACCTTCACACTCCATCACTCACAACTCAGCTCCCTCAGCCCACCCAGGGGTGTCAGGGTGGGAGGACCAGGGCTGGGAGCCTTCAGATGCCTGCTGGCACTCACCTGGTTCAGATAGTAGTAGGTCTCAGCCTCTTGCAGGCTAAAGGCCTGCCGGAGCTGGGCAGGCAACCCGGCCAACAACTCATAGAAGATGTGGTAATTCCTCTCGTTTTTGGCCTGTAGAGTGGGTAGGTGGGCACAGAGAAGGGAACCACCTACGTAGGTGACCCCCAGGTACACATACAGGCCCAAGCCTGCCCACAAATGCACATGCACACAGCGGGCTGCGGATGAGAACAGACACCTCTGTGATGGTTGGGGCTCCCAGCCTGGTGCCAGCTGCGGGTGAGGGCAGAAGCAGAGGTGCCCTGGTATGACTGAAGGTTGAGAGGGTTCTGGTGAGATTTTATTTGGTTAGGAGAAATAAGAGAAAAGGGACTCGTCTTCTCTTATGTGTACCGGCCACACACACCTACATACATGTCTATCCACAGACCACATGTGCACACACAGAGCTTGTTGATGGCTGAGCACTTCCTGTGCACCAAAACCTATCCTAGGCCCTTGGGACACAGTGGGGAACAAGGCAGAGAGAAACCCCTGTCCCGATGGAGCCCACCCGCTAGCTAGGGAGACAGACACTCAGCAAATCACTGGTTAAAACATAAAATATGGCCGGGTGCGGTGGCTCACACCTGTAATCCCAGCACTTTGGGAGGCTGAGACGGGCAGATAACGAGGTCAGGAGATCAAGACCATCCTGGCTAACATGGTGAAACCCCGTCTCTACTAAAAATACAAAAAAAAAAAAAAAAAATTAGCCGGGTGTGGTGGCAGGTGCCTGTAGTCCCAGCTACTGGGGAGGCTGAGGCAGGAGAATGGCGTGAACCCGGGAGGCGGAGCTTGCAGTGAGCCGAGATGGCACCACTGCACTCCAGCCTGGGTGACAGAGCAAGACTCCGTCTCAAAAAAAAAAAAAAAAAACAAAACACAAAATATGGCCGGGTGTGGTGGCTCACGCCTGTAATCCCAGCACTTTGGGAGGCCGAGGTGGGCAGATCACGAGGTCAGGAGATCAAGACCATCCTGGCTAGCATGGTGAAACCCCATCTCTACTATCTCTACTAAAAATACAAAAAATTAGCCCGGCGTGGTGGCGGGCACCTGTAGTCCCAGCTACTCGGGAGGCTGAGGCAGGAGAATGGCGTGAACCTGGGAGGTGGAGCTTGCAGTGAGCCGAGATCGTGCCACTGCACTCCAGCCTGGGCGACAGAGTGAGACTCTGTCTCAAAAAAACAAACAAAAACAAAAACAAACAAACAAAAATAAGTACACTGGAGAGAAATAAAGCAGTGGAGGTGGGGGTTCTGATGGGATGGAGAGGTGTTGCGTTTTTAAATGGAGAGCTTCCTGAGTGGGTGAAATTGTAGGGGAGACTTGGAGGAAATGAGGGGTTTGGCCAATCAGGCGCCTGAGGGATAAGTGCTCCTGAGGGAAGGAACAGAAGGTGCAGAGGCCCTGGCAGAAGCGTGCCTGTGTTGTGGGGCAGGGAGGAGCCACTGTGGCTGGAGGAGGGTCGGGGAGGGGAGGTCCCAGGCTCCCATGTACACATGTACGCATGTATTCATTCATTAATTTCACATCTACCCAGCCCCACCAGGGGCCAGGCTCTGAGTTTCTGTACCTCCCACCCCCACCCTGCCCAACACACAGTCCTGGGAGGGGCTGGCCCACCTGAAACACGATCCTGGATTTCTCAAGCAGATACTGGGAGGTTATGGCACCAGAGATCACGCCCCTGGGGTGGGGAAAACAGTCAGCTCTCAGTGGGGGTAGGAGGGCTGGTGTTGGCTCAGGGGCTGTGGCGGGACATGGAAGACACTGCAAAGCTTTTGGGAGGCCTTCCACTGTCCCAACTCACCCTTCCAGAAAGATTTCCATGAACTTCCCAAAGCGGCTGGAGTTGTCGTTCCTGACGGTTTTGGCATTACCGAAGGACTCCAAGAGGGGTGTTGCCTCCAGGATCTGGACTCCAGAAGGAGATGTGGGAATTGAGGGGCCAGGCACTGTTCTGGGGGCCTGGGTGGGAGGCGTAGCTGGGGACACCCAGACACGGGCCTCCCCAAGGACCTCCCTTTATGAGGGGTGACCAGAGGTGGGCTCCCTAGAGAATCCTGAGGTCTCTCCAGTGTCCCCCAAGGTCCCCCACCCCATGCTGCCCATCTCCCACACAGCAAGTCCCATGCTTTGCCTCTCCCAGCCTTCCAGCCTCCATGGTCCCCCACGGCAGCCCCTGACCACAAGCCCCTGCCCAGCCCAGGACAGGCCTTTGGATGTCCCTTCCTGCCTGTCCCTCCACCCACACAGAAGCAGGCACATCCACACACATTTTCCCGGACACACACACACACACACACATATACAGAGTACCTTTATCTTCAAGAGCGCCCAGGAGGGAGGACAAAGAGAGAGACAAGAACAGAATGGAGTCACTAGCAGGACCGACCACCTCTCTCTCCAGGAGACTAGGAGCCTCAGACCAGGGAGGGACCAGCAAAAACCTGTGAGGCTCAGAGACCCCAGGGGTCCAGGCATGGGGACTGCCATGGGGTCTCCAGGGTATGAAAATATGCTGAGTCTGCCTTCCAGATGGCTCTGGGGATGTCCTCTTCTCCCCTCCCCCATGGCTACTATCAGCCAAGGATCCCTGAACCTCCGCCCTGGCCTTCCTCACTGTTCTCTGACACCCAGGCCCACTTCTGCCTCTGACCATTGGCATATCCTGTTCCCTCTGCTTAGACGCCACTGCTCCCACGCACCTGCATGCCCCCCCAACCTCACCTCTCACAGGAAGGCCACTAGAATTCTCTCCCCGGTAGCCCTTAGCCCCATTGGCAAACTCTCTATTTTCTTGGGTATTGTCTGTCTCCCCACTAGACTGTCAAATCCCACAGGCACGGATCTCTGAGTCCCCAGCATCTAAATGGACCTGGTGCTTCGTAGGCCCTCAAAAAATATCTGCTAAAGGGATGGAAAAAGGAATAGCATCGGCCCGGCATGGTGGCTCACGTCTGTAATTCCAGGACTTTGGGAGACTGAGGTGGGCGGATCACGAGGCCAGGAGATCGAGACCATCCTGACCAACATGGTGAAACTCTGTCTCTACTAAAAATACAAAAAATTAGCTGGGCGTGGTGGTGCCCACCTGTAGTCCCAGCTACTCGGGAGGCTGAGGCAGGAGAATTGCTTGAACCCGGGAGGCAGAGGTTGCAGTGAGCCAAGTTTGCACCACTGCACTCCAGCCTGGTGACAGAGCGAGACTGTCTAAAACAAAAATAAAAACAAAACAAAAACAAACAAAAACAACAAAAAAGGAATAGCATCTCATGGGCAGAGCTGCCTAAAGGTGACCATGGCTGATCGCAAGCTCCCACCTATTTAAGCACCTACTGTGTGCCAGACACATTGCCCTGATAATGCAATTGTTAACAATCCCATGAGGTAGGTACTAATATTACCCCTGTATTGCAGATTAGGAAACTGAAGCTTAAAGAGAGGTGAAATGACATGCCCAGGGACTCCAGAATCCACTCGAGTGATGAGCATGGGCCTAGTGTGTACATGGCACCTTCTTTAGCTGAGGCACTTCCTCAGGATAATCTTTTAGGGAAGAAGCAAAGGAGGTCCAGTCACCACAGAAACAATACCTGTAATTTTGGGGATGGGGCCAGTTCCTTCCATCTGTCCCATTTAGTCCAGGAAATACTGCACCCATTGTATAAAGGAGTAAACTGAGGTCCAGAGAGGGATGGGGGCTGGCCTGTGATTGTTCAATGAGTCAAGGTCTGCCTGGGCTTTCCTGTGTACTATCCCTTAGTCTGGGAAGCCCTTGAGGACAGGCTGGCTGCTTCTCTGTTCCTGGTGCCCAGCATACAGCAGGGCAGAAAGCCAGGGGATGGAGTGGGTGAACACCGGAGGGGTGGAACCTGTGGTCCAGGCCTCAGTCAGTCAGGGCAGAGCATTCCCCATGCTACGTGACTGGTTTCAGTTAGGACATATGACCAAAACTTGCCCAGTGAGATGGAGCTCTGAATGTTTCATTTCTGAAATGTTGGGAGGGTTGATCATTATGGTGCCAGCTTCCTGACCAATGGGAGTCAGGCTGAGGATGATGCCCATACATGGGGGAGGGTGCAGCCAAGACAAGAGACATTGTCTAAGATTCTGGATCTAGCCATGCCTAAAACTGACCCTAGAACTGGACTGTTTGATTATCTGAGGAGAGGAGAGCCATGTCTAGGAAAGGAGCCCCATGGTCATCACAGCTGGCAGGCCTGTCCTCACACATTCTGTGTACCTGGCACACAGAAACTCCCAGACTCAGCCACATCCACAGCTCCATCCGTCCTCCCTGACAGCTCTCTGCCATGGACTGCAAATCCAAGCTCCTGCACCACTTCACTCCTCCCTTCTTAGGCCTCAGTGTTCCCATCTACAAATGGACACAAATGTACCTGCCTCCCACGGTTGCCGTAAAGCTCTGTGTGATGATAACTGAAGGAACCCAGCACTGTGCCTGGCCACAGGAGGTGCACAAGGTACACTTATTTCTTTCCCTGCCTACCTAGCTAGTCATTCCACAAATCTGACCTGAAAGGTTTTGAAAACTGTGCTTGGAGCAAGGGATGATCTGTTTGGTCATCAGGAGGCCTGGACTGGGATGGGAGAGCCTGGCAGGCCAAGGCAGGCATCAGAGGGGCCCAGGCCAGGCTGGAACCTGACGGCAAAGCCTGAGCAGCCCCCACCTATGCCCCCAGGATCACCTTGCTGGGTTCACCACTGGCTAGGACATTGTGGCCATGTGCAAACCTTCGTGGGCCCCAGGGTTGGGGAAGTCTGGGTCTGTGGTTCTGGAGTCTGAGCTGGCAGGCCAGCCCCGCCTTCTCCTGAGCTCCAGGCTGGTGATGCACCCATCACCTCTCTGCCATCTCTGTGCATATGCCTAGCAGACACCTCTTCTCAACAAACCTGCTCCTCCTCCACTGCCCAGCCTGCCTCTGTGCCGCCTGTGGGTCAGACCAAATGTCTGGGGTCACCCTCCGACAGTTCTCCCTCTCACACCCCAGTCTGTCTTCTGTAGGCTGCTGGCTGGCTTTGACCTGTACCTGGACCCAACCTGCTTGCACCTCAGGGCCTTTGCAGGCACTCTTCCCTCTGCCTCTTCACTGTTCCCCTAGACATTCCCAGAGCCCACTCTCTTGTCTTCTCTGTACAGCCTACCCTGACCACCACACTTATGATTGCAACCCCCAACACTCCCCACCCTTCTCTCCACTTTTTTCCTCCGCAACTCACCATCTACCCTTTCACGTACATATAATTTACTTGTATATAAGTGTATACATATTTTTCTTCCCGCCTCCACCACTAGAGTAAAGTTCCCATGAGGATGTGAACATTTGCCTGAGTTGCCGCTACTCGTCCCCAGTGCCTAGCCTGGGCCTCGAACACAGTAGGTGCGAGGGATGGGGTTCTACCATTCTCAGGCTCAGAGAGCTTAGCACTGTCTTTGTCAGCAAAGTTCCAATCCTGCAGACTCTGGCTTGGCATCTACTGCCTGACCCACACTCAGGCCTGCCCTGCCTCTTGATAGCTGGGGGCTGCATAGCTTCTGAGTGTGAGAATATGGTGGCCCCAGGGCCATGACCAGGAAGGTGAGGCCAGGTGGGAGAGATGCGATGACTCCCCTTCCCTATGTGGTCTCCACTGTGAACTGGACCTGGAGGGCTGGAATCAGGAGCTGCCACAGAAGCATAGGCAGGCACACCCCTGGGATGGGTGGCAGAAAAAGCAGCCCTGGGCAAGGCTCCCTTCTGGAATTCAGCCTCCCCATCTTTCTAGTGGGCCAAGGAGCCTTGTCTCTTGGGGAGTACATGAGGTGTGCTTATCAAAGTGTGCTCAACCTAGGGTCCTGGGGAGACAAGTAGACTCACCTGCTGCATGACATCCCGTTTCTGGTTCATGGCGGCCAGGTAGCGAAGAATCAGCTTGGTGGCCTCAGTTTTGCCAGAGCCGCTCTCTCCACTGACCGAGCAAAGGGGCAGAGTGAGTTCCAACCTTTCACTGCCTCTTCTGGTGCACCCTGACCCCCATCCTGAAGCAAGAGGCTATGTGCAGTATGCCAACCCAGCGGTATCAGGCAATCTTCCAAGTTCCCACAGCAGTTCTGGCCAGATGCAGGCCTGCTACCGAAGGTCCCCCATTTATCCCCCACATAAAGGCAGCCCGCTCACCTGATGATTATGCACTGGTTCTGTTTGGCATCGAGCATTTTGGCGAAGGCGAGATTTGCAATAGCAAAGAGGTGCCTGGGGAGAAAGGTCACTGGAGCCGGCCCCTGCCTCTAAGCTCCCAAACCTCCCAGGGATTGGGCAGGGAGCATCCATATCCAGCCAAACAGCCAATCCGGCCCACCCCTCACCCTGGTGGGGGAATGCTCCCACCCCCATCCTGGTCTGAACCACAGTGCCCTCCAACCTGTGGCTGCGGCCTTGCCTGGGGAGAGACTGTCAGATTGAGTAGGTGGGCTGCCTTTCCCCATTTACCTCTGACTCATGGCTGGGGTGCAGCTGGGATCCAGGCTCCCACAGCAGGGGAAAGACGGGCCCAAGAGACCCCACGGCAGCCCCGCCCCGCCCCTGAGACACTCACGGGGGATTCTCTCCCAGGGCCCGTCCATTGTACTGCTGCACCTGCTCCGGCCCATAGATTCCAAACATTTGGTATGGGTTCACCGACACCAGGATGCTCCCGATGTATGTCTGCTGGGCAGACGGTGGCCTCAGCGTCATGGTTCCTTGCAGACCTGTGTCCCTCCTTCCCCTACGCTGGAAGCTTGGCTCCCTGTTTCCTTCCGAACAGATATCTGGCTGCCTGGACTCAGGATTCCCATCTAGAGCCCTCTACCGGCTTGCTGGGCTATGTGCTCTAACAGTGGAATCTCAGGCACTGCAGCAGGCTGAGCTGAGAGGAGTCTGGAGTGAGTAAAACCCCACAGCCACGATCCTGGGTGGGCTTCTGCCTACTTCATTTGTTCATAGTTGGACCCAGGCTCCAGGAACTTTTGGCTCCTGTTGAGGGCAAACCTCCACTGCCTGGAGTGGGTAGTTGGGGAACTCAGGGGATCCTGATGTGGCCAGAGCCCTTCCGGGTGTCCTTGTCTTCCACACTGGCTCTGGGCCCCTGGCCCTCTGTTCTGTCATTCTGAGGTCAGAGGCTCCCCTCCAACCCCTCTGACCATCCCCACTCTGGGGTCCGGGTCTATGGATTCTAGGACTCTGGAAGTTCTATCTGTCAGGTCCCGGGTAGTGGGGGTGTCGCGTATTTCTGGATTCTCTGTCTCCAGCTTTCTGCCTCTAGCATCCACCATTCTAAGACTGTGTTTTAAGACTTCAGATTTTAGTTCTAGGCTCTGGCATTCTATGCTGAAATGACAGAAACTCAGAGTTCAAACCAGAGGCCACAGGGGCTAGGGCCCACAAGAGAAATCTGTGCATCCCACCCGGCCCCAGGAGGCAGCTGCCTTCCTGACCTAGGCCCAGGGCAGGGCCAGCCCTAGGTCTTACGTAGATGAGGTTCCGTTCAAACCTAATCTTGAGGTTGGACAGCACAGTGGTTTCCTGGAGGTCTCTAGAAGGGCACAGAGAGAAGCCGTGAGCGCCCCCAGGGCTGGTTCTGGCATGAGTCTCCCTCCCCGACTCAGTGCAGTGCCTTGATCAGATAGGCCTGAGTTCAAGTCCTGTTTCTGACACCAACCAGTTAGGAGACCTTGGGCAAATTACTTCACCTGTCTGTGCCTGTTTCTTTATTTGTCCAATGGGTATGATAATCATTGTACCTACTTCATTGGGGGTTTGGGGGACACTCTTACGTAATCACCATGATTAGATAATGATGTTGACAAACACGGCCCTCTTGTTTTGAGCACCTCCGATGTGCCGGCATCCTCACCACAGCCATCCCACTCCCATTTTGTGGATGAGAAACTGAGGTGCAGAGAAGCAAAGTGGTTTGTCCAAGGTCTGCCAGCTAGTGAGTGGTGGGGCTAGGATTTGAACCAAAGTCCATCTAACTCACAAAGCACACCACATTTAGTCTTTGTGACACTTCATGACTGAGGCTCTGAAAATGTCCTGGGAGGTGAGAGGCAACTGCAGGAGGAGCCGCTCTGGTTGGGAGGATGGGGACCCCATGGTGACACCTTGTTACCCCGCCAGCCCTGCCCACTCACTCCAGCTGTGTCATGTCCTCCACACCATCCTCCCTGTGCTGCTCGCGGAACCGCACAGATGGCAGGTTTCGGATGGAGTGCATCTGTGTGAGAGAGAGACTGTGTCTGCAGTTTGAAGGGTGCCCCCTGCCCCCACTGGCCCCTGGCTTGGTCATACCTGGGGCCTGCTAACATTGTTGGGGAGGGAATCCCAAGGCCAGGTGGGTCCTGCAAGTCTCCTCATTACAGAATGCTGTGGCCCCTGGAACCTGCATGCAACCCTCACACATGAGACACACGCATGCCCTCAGTGCCCAGGCAGGCGCTCCCATGAGCTCCTAAGTGTCCTGCCCTGGGGGGTGAGCAAAGGCATGAGCAGGTACATGGGTGCACGTGCCAGCTCCCTCCCAACTGCAGCTGTCCCAGCACCAGCAGACCCCATGTGTTGGTTTGTGTGACAACTCAAAAGGACACTTGTGACCTGACGCATGGGGCCTCCAGGAGGGCAAAGATGGAGACTGTCTTAGCACCACACCCCCATGCTCATCCCAGGGAAAATGTGTGGACACCTGCATATGAACCCACACTCAATGGCATTTACAGCTCATACAACTCCCAGGCACACAGGTGTTCTTGTAGGCCTGTGGACACATATGCAAGCCTGTGGGGCCCGGCTGGAGGCACATAGTGTGCAGGCACATGCTCTACCTGTCCACTTGGCACATACATCTGGGTGCACAGCTGGGTCCCTCCCTACCCTGGGGGTCTGGAGAATGGAAGTTCTGATGCCACCTTTGGGCTGCAGGGTCTCCTCTCTGCACGCACATCTGTGCACATGGGCAGAGGGTGGGCAAACAACCCTGACCCCCAGGGATGCCACATCTGCTCAGACCTCATACACTAGCTTTCGTCATTTGGCCATGGTACACACGCGCACACATGCTCAGGCATGCAGGCCTGCGCAGGATCCACATGACTGGGAGCACACACATGTGCACCCTCAGCCTCTCCAATCCCAGCAGCACCCTGAGCAGGCGAGGAAAGAGGACACCAGGAGGGAGGCCTGCATGCCTGTCGCTGGGCTGCTAAGTAGGGCACAGCGAGTATCACCTTTTCTGCCCTGGCCTCTAGCCCACCCATCTGCCCACGTGCTTGCCAGCAGCCTCAGACCCTGAATAATTCAGCCACTCACGTATTCCAGGGTGAGGAGGGCCCAGGCATCCTTGCCCCTCACCCCTAGGCGCCCTGCGCCCCGCTCCCGCAATGCTGCAGCCCACACGGCACGGGGCACCCGCCGCCGGGGCCAGGGCCCCCCCAGCAGCCAGGCTGCCCCAGTTGCCATTGTTGGGCCCAGCTGGCTGCCCGCTCCGCTGGGCACGGTCTGCACAGGCTGAGACGCACCTGCCGCCCCTGCTTGCCCCGCCCACCACCCCAGCATCCCGGGAGAGGCTCCGGTGACCACGCACCCCGGCCAAGGGCCACCCAGCATCAGGCTCGAGTTCCACCTTGAGTGTGGCAGCCAGGCATGGGCTGGGCACTCCTCAGAAGGGCTGCCTACCCTGTACCCGCCATGGGGTTCCAGAAGGACTCCTGGTTCAGTTTTCCCTCTGTGCAATGAGGAGGCTGGAGGGTTGGATCCTGAGCCCCTCACCCTGACCTATTCCAGAATCCTGCAGCCCAGGGGACTTCAAAGGGCAGCAAAAACCTTGAGGAAAGAGGAGGCTCTAATTTGGGGCAGGGTCAGTAGGAGACAGGAGGAACCGCACAGACCTGGATGTGCGGTGGAACAGGATGGATAGGCATGTCCTGCAGTTTCACATCTGGCTTGGCTAAAATCTCTGAGGGGAAGTTAGGGCCAGACCTGCCATCCAGATTGGATCAGGGCAGGGCTGCCCAGGGCCCAGGCTGAGATGAACAAAGATCCTTCCCCAGAGCGACCTGGAAGCAGTTTCCCACGTCTCTGTCCTGTGCCTGCCTGTGCTGGGCATCCCCTTGTTCAACCCTCCAGAGGTTCTGGGAGGGACTGTTCTCCCCAACTTACAGGCCCCAGCAGGCAGCCGCTCTCCAAGGTTGCACAGGGCTCCTCAGGCTGTCTCTCTTGCCCTGTTTTCTAGGCCAGAACCCTCAAACCCTCCCTGTAATCTGTGCCCCCATACCTTGTTCCGCCAGCTTGGGGGGCCGACCTCTTCCCAGGAGCCCTTAAGGGAGAGGCAGGCGGCTCCAGGGCCCAGGTGGCAGGACTGGGGGTGGGCGTGTACTCGTGGCCTGGGTCCACAGGCATCTGCCCGAAGCCACAGGCAGGACCAGCGAAGACCCCAGGCTCTTGGCTTGGGGTCCTGGGTTGGCTGGACTCGAGGCTTCAGGGCTGCAGGCCCAACTCGCTGGAAAGAGCTCAGCTTCTGCACACGAGGCATGACCACAGCAAAACGCCCAGGGGTTGCCTGGCGCCGCTTGCCCCCCTTGGGCAGGGGCTCTGGGGCCCTGGTGGGTGCCAAGGGGGCTGCGGTTTGGGGCAGTGTCCCCCAGCGGTGCCATGGTGGCCATGTGGCCCTGGTCTGCTCACGTGCAGCCAGTGGGTATGAGAGGCTGGGCCTTAATGTCTTTTGCTCTGGGAGGACATCCTTAGGGGGTGTGACATCCTTGGGAGGTGTTGGGATTGGAGGCTTGGTCTCTGCTGGCAGCTGGGGGTCTCCCAGGGTGGCCTCTTCTTCAGGCTTCTCAGGGGTTGGGCCAGCTGATTTGGTGAGCTGTCCAGGACCCGGCTCATGGTGTCTGCCCAGGAAGACCCTGGTCATATCAGCAGCTGCATCCTCAGGCTGGAGGGTGGTGGATGGCACAGGGCCTACGTGCTGGAGAAAGGGGTTTTCCGGCACAGGGGGTGGCCTGGAAAAGCCTCGGCGGCTGCCTGCACCTCCTGGCCAGGGGGAGGGTGGGCGTTGGGTGGGAGGCATGTCCACGTCCCAGATGGGGGCCAGCGGGGGCACGGTCCAGGGCACCTCTGAGTCCTCGGCTTCTCGCGGGCTTTCCCGGTGCTCCAGGGGCGCCCGCCAGGCCCCGGCTCCGGCCCCGGGCGGTCGGTGGAAGGGCGGGCGCACTCGTGGCTTCACAGCCCGAGTGGGTGGCTCGCTGAGGCGCCGCCACGTGTGCGGGAGGTGCGAGGGCAGATTCAGGGAGCGGCGCCGCGGGCTGTGGCCCAGCCCCGGGGGCGGCGAGGGTGGCCTGGGTGAGCCCGGCAGCGGCGAGCGGGGTGGGCCCAGGCGCCCCGCGGCTCTGCGTGGGGCTGGGGACTCCTGCAGCGAGCGGGGCCGGCGGGCCGGGGGCGGGAAGGGCGGCTGGAAGGGTCCCGCGCGCAAGGACAGCTGAGGCGACGGGGGCGCCAAGGGTGAGCGGTAGCCGGGGCCCGGCAGGCTCTTCAGCGAGGGCTGGGGCGAGGCCAGTGGTGACCAGGCTCGCCTCCGCGACGCCCGTGGGGAGGCCCCGGGGAAGCCGAAGGCCGCCCCTCGCCCGCGGGAGTCCCTGAACGAGGGTCGGGGCCCGGGGAAGGCCAGTAGGTCGGGGGGCATCTCCGGACTCACGGTAGGGGGCTCCACGAAGGCCCACCAGCTGGCCTGCGGCGCCGGGGGCACGTGCGCTGGGGCGGCCCAGGGTGGCGGGTGGCGGCGGAGGGAGCCGTAGGGCGAGGCCGGCCGGGGCAGGCCCGAGAATGCCGGGTAGAGGGGCGGTGCAGGCGGGGGCCCGGGGCTGGGGGTCCTAGGGGGCACGGGCGGGGACAGGAGCGCGCTCCAGTGGGAGACCTTCCTGGGCGCGGGCGCGGGCGCGGGAGGGCGGCGCGCGTCGTTGCCGCTGCGAGCGCGTGGCTGGGCCCTCCTCAGCACGATGGGCGTGCTGGGCCGCTCCGGGTCCATGCCAGCCAGCTTGTAGCCGAAGCGTTTGTAGGCTGCCTCCCTGACCGCGGGGCCGCCCGCCCGGGCCTTCTGGCTGCCCCTGAGCCGCGGAATGGGCTTCTTCTCCGACAGCGTCTTCTTGAGGAACCGCGCCAGCGAGGTGGCAGGGCGAGGAGCGGGGCGGCCAAACTCAGGGCCGAAGCCCAGGCCCCGGTGGGCGCCGAAGGCCGACAGCGCGCGCTGGAGGTTTCGCTGGCGTGGCGTGAGGAAGCCCCAGAAAGGGTGGCCGTAGGGCACATTGGGCACCGGGGGCGGCTCCTCCTCGTCCTCTTCTTCGTCCGCATCCCCTAAGGGCAGAGGAATATCCAGAGAGGGTGGCAGGGGCACCTCCAGCTTCTCCTTCCCAAACAGCTTCACCTGGGGTCGCGGGAAGAGGCGGAACTTGCGGATGAGGGACAGCTTGGACCTGGCGGGCTTGTCCATGCCTTGCTGCTCGAAGAAGGCGGCGCTGGGCAGGCGGAAGGAGGTCCCCTGACGCTCCCCGCCCGCGTCCTCCGGCTCCTCCAGCTCGGCAATGTCATCCATGGGGTGGGCATACGGATTGTGGGGCGACAGGATGGGCGGTGGTACCCAGGGGTACACAAAGGCCGAGGTCGACTCCTCTGGGTAAAAATAGGGCACCTCGGGGGGGTAGATGGCCTCGTCCCCACCGCCATAGATGCCTTCGACATAGGGGACGGTGTAGGGGACCCCGTAGGGATCAAAGTAGGGTACATCGTAGGGAGTGTGGTACGGGAGGTCATAGGGCGGGTATGGCACGTCGTACGGTGCATAGGGATCCAGGTAGTAGCCATATGGGTGCGCCTCGCCCTCGTACCCATCGTGGTAGCTGTAAGGAGACGAGTACCCCGACGGGGGCGCATATGGGGGTTCGTAATCATTGTAGCCATAGCCGTAGCTGTAGGTGTACCCTGGATCAAAGGGGCCACCGTAATAGTCGGGGTGGTAGTAGTCGTAGGGGTCCTCCGGCAGGTACCCGTAGTAGTGGTCGCTGTAGGGTGGCCAAGCCGGGCTGTAGGGGCCGAGGCCCGCCAGGTAGGGTTCCTGCTCCTCGTAGCGGTGGAGTGACTGCCGGTCATAGTAGTCGTCGCCATCGCGGTGATAGTCATAATACTCGCCCAGGTCCTGGAAACCCTCAAGCCCGTACAGCGACTTGCGGGAACCCGAGTGATGGAACGGGGCCTCGTCCTCCGAGGGCAGGAAGCCCAGGGGCTCGCCTGACGCGTAGATGCTGCGGCTGCGGGGGAACCTCCGGAGCCGGCCCCCGGGCCGCAGGATCTCGGCACCCGACGGGAAGGCGAGTTTGCGGGAGCCCATGCGAGAGCTCGAGCGCTGCAGCCAGGCGTCCACCGTGGCCTGCTCGCTGCCCGACTCCTCGGCCTTCTTGAGGAGGAACTTTTTTGTGAGCCAGTTGATGGCCGTGGACGCCTTGCTGAGCGACCGGGCGCGCGGCCGAAGGCGGCCGTAGCCACGGCGGCCTGGGAAGCGGATCACCATGAAGGACGGTTTCTTGCCCTTCATCGCCCGCTTCTTCTTGCCCATACGCATCTGCGTCATGAGCTTCGACGTGGACTTGAGCACAGTGCGGGCCTTCTTCTTGCGCTTGGTCTTCTGGGGGCCGGTGTGGAGGCCCCAGAAGAAGGCCGAGGCGCTGCGGAACTGGCCTTTCTTGGAGATCTTGGGTGTGCGGTCGCGGAAACCCATGAAGAGCCGCGACGTCCCCTTCAGGCTCCGTTTGGGCTTCTCCGGCTCCGGTGCCTTCTTCCCCTTCTTCCCTTTCTTGGCTTTCTTCTCCTCATCTTCCTCCTTCGCCATGGTGGCTGTCTGCTCTCTACCGGGCCTGGGGCCGGTGTCACGGGCTCAGGGACTTGGAGACACAGGGACCTGCTCGGTCTCCTGCCCGCGGCTGGACACGCGGCCTCCTCGGACTGGGAGCAGACTGGACTGGCCCCGGGTGGCGTGGGGAGGGCTGAGCCAGGATTCCGGGAGGGCGGATCCATAATTCATCTCCTCTAGAGCGCCTTGGGTTTCACCCTAGAGCAGTGGTGGAAAGTGTGTGGGTGTTGTTTACCGGGATGGGGAAGCCTGCCTCTGAGGCCTGTGCTGGGGAAGACATTCTTGCCTCGGAGTCGTCATGGCAACATCAGTGCTCATCCTGGTCAGGCCCTCCCTAGGCCACAGCTGGCTCAACCCCCTGAAGGGAGCCCTTGGGTCATTTCGGCTTCACAGACAAAGACATTGAGCCACAGAGATGGAATGCCACCTGCCCTAAATCACCAGCACACCTGCACTGGACCGGAAGTGGAGCCCAGGGTGGGATGGTCAAAGCCCACCAAGTCATCTTGGAGGAGAAGTTTGAACGCTCTAGGTCCTGGGCAAGGGAGGAGGGGAATGGGCAGAGCAGGTGCTGGGCTGCGGTCAGTGTAACGGGAGCTGGCTGGCTCTCAGGAGCTGAATAATACATGGGGTGGGGAGCCAGGCTGCTGGCTCAGAAGGCAGGGCACGGAGGGGTGTTTCAGTGGAACTCCACTTCTGTGTGTGTATGTGGGGGGGCGGGGTAGAGAGGCGGAAATGGAGGGTGGGTCGGGCCTGACTCTGACTCTAGGCTCTGTCACTGACTGGCTGTGTGGGTCCAGGAAAGCCTTTGTCCTCTCTGGGCCTCAGTTTCCTCTGAAGAATGGGAGTGATAAGCTATGCTCTGTCTCTTTCACCAAAAGGAAGCAAGACCTGATGGAGCTGCTGGGTAACTGGAGATGCCTCCTACTGGCTCCTGTCTGGGGTCCCTGCCTAGCCCTGTCCACTCCTCTTACTTTCTGCTCTGGCTGAGTAGGCTGTGGCCATATGGTTCCTGCCTTCTCTGGGCATAGCTGATTGCTTCATATGGCCTGACCTAAGGCTGCATATCCAAAGTCTGGTTGGTGGCCAGTCTAACTCACTTTTGAGAACCTGCACTAAAAGAGGTTGTCAGTGGAAAAAACTGAGCAGGCCAGCGGGGGTGGGGAGTGGCAGCTCTGAGACCTGAAGCCTCAGAACCAGCTCTCCTCCTCCTTTTCCTCCTCCCCCTTCTCAAGATGGACCCCAGTTAACATCAAGCTCCCTACTTACTGAACTCTGCTTCAGTCTTTTGGTCCCAGAGCTAATTCTTTGGTTGCTTAAGGTTTAGCATAGGCAACCCCAGAGCAGCAAGGTTCTGGCCCTGGTTCTGCCACTTGCCAGCTCCACGCCCTCAGATCAGTGGCTTCAGAGCCTCAGCGTGCTCAGCTGTGAAACAGGGACAGGGAGAGGCCTTCCCAGGCAAGTGGCAGGAGCGGAGAGGGGACCATGCAGCAGAGGAGGTCTCCCCCTGTCTGCCTCTTCCCCCTGTTTACTTTCTCTGGCTCTTCACTTTCCTCTTCTTCCTGCTCCTCCTCCCCAAGATTCACCTGGAGCCAGTCAGTGCCCAGCCGCTCAGAGGAGTTGCACCAGGGGCTGTTGGTGCCTGGTGCAGGCAGTCTCACAGGGATGGGGAATAGGGCTTGATGGAAACCAGATAAATTGGATGGACGGCTTTTGGGGCAAGTTAGGGGATATGTGCAGGAAGTGGGCCTCTTGCAGAGCAGGAGTTTGAGGGGCTGCCCACTCTCCCTTCTGTTTTTGGGCAGTGGCTCTTGTCCGCTTGAGGAAAATGAAGGACAGGGGAGATGTTCTTTCTTTCTTCTTTTTTTGAGACAGAGTCTCGCTCTGTTGCCCAGGCTGGGGGGCAGTGGTACAATCTTGGCTCACTGCAAACTCCACCTCCCGGGTTCAAGCAATTCTTGTGCCTCAGTCTCCCAAATATCTGGAATTACAGGTATGTGCCACCACACCTGGCCAATTTTTGTATTTTTAGTAGAGACGGGTTTTGCCACGTTGGCCGGGATGGTCTCAAACTCCTGACCTCAGATGATCCACCGACCTCGGCCTCCCAAAGTGCTGAGATTAGAGATGTGAGCCACGGCGCCCAGCCAAGACATTCTTTCTGAGCCCAGAGATATCAACACCTGCCCCAGCTCCTCTTGGAGCCAGTTTCCAGAGTGAGGCCCCAGTCAGGTGTGTGGCACAATGGTCACAGCAGGTCTGTGCGATATGAGCTATTAGTATCTCTGTTCTCCAGATGAGGAAACTCAGACTCAAAAGGTGAAGGGACTTGCTCGAGGCCACCTGGCTTGGGAAGGCAGAACCCCGTCCTGGCCGGGTTCAGCACTACCTCCCTTACTAGGCCCTCCTGCCCACTGAGCTCCTGGGTAATCACTGGGCTTGCAGTGGCTTAGGACACTGGGCAGAGCCAGGAGCATAGTCGAGCTGACCCCATAACCTGCTCCTGCCTGGAGGGGGAGGGCCCTGACCAAGCCACTGGGCAAACCAGAGCCCAGCTGGGCCTCCAACAGGCACCAAGGCCTCTCCAGTGCTTGCCCACAGCTACCCCAACCTGGATTCCTCAGTCAGCCTGGCCCCTTTCCCTAAGGGTCCTGTAGCCAGCATTTACTCACTCACCCATACATTCAAAAGCCTCTGTGGGAAGTGTGCTGCACACTAGGCACCGTCTAAGTTCTGGGGACACAGCTGTGAGCAAAACAGAGAAAAAGCCTGCCCTCATGCAGTTACCAAATGTGGGTGAACGGAGAGCCAATAAACATGGAAAATCAGTAACAGATAATGGGGCACAAGTGCTGTGGAAGGGACAGCAAGAAGTGGGGGTGTGACATTAAACAGGAAGTCAGGGAAGGCCTAGTGGCTATGGGGCCATGGCGAGAGCCTGTGGGCAGTGCACAGTCCCAAGCAGATGGAGGAGCAGTCAGACCAGGTGGCTGGAGGGCAGCGGGGGTGCACTGGGTGGTGAGGTCAGAGTTCAGGGGCACACGTGCAGGGCCTGTGGGCCACAGTGAGGGCTTGGTTTCGACTGCCAGTGAGGCAGGAGCCGCGGGAGGAGGGTTTTGGCAGAGAAGGGATGGAATTCGACCTCAGTCTTTTTTTTTTTTTTTTTTGAGACAGAGTCTCGTCGTATTGCTCAGGCTGGAGTGTGATGGTACGATCTTGGCACAGCAACCTCTGCCTTCCAGGTTTAAGCAATTCTCCTGCCTCAGCTTCCCAAGAAACTGGGATTACAGGCACACATCACCACACCGGCTAATTTTGTATTTTTAGTAGAGACAGGGTTTCACCACGTTGGCCAGGCTGGTTTCGAACTCCTGACCTCAGGTGATCCGCCTGCCTTGACCTCCCAAAGTGTTGGGATTACATCCGTGAGCCACCATGCCTGGCCTCGACCTCAGTCTTGATAGGAGCCTCTACTGCTGTGGAAGAAGTGGCTGCAGGAGTGAGGGTGAAGGCAGGGAGGCCAGCGTGGAAGTTTCCATGGAGGTCCTCCTGCACCAGGCTGCCAGCTGTTAAGGTGTGGAGAAGTGGGAGGATGCTGGGGACATGTGGCAGGTAGGGCTGACAGGATTGATGATGGGGATGGGGGAGGGTGCAGGAATGGCTCCCAGGTTTCCTTACTGAACAGCAGGGAGAATGGAGAGGCTGTCAGGTCATTGGCCAGGATGAGGAAGGCTGCGGGCAGAGCAAGTTGAGGAGGTAGGGCCCAGGAGTCAGCTTTGGGCACTGGGCACTGCTAAGGGGCCATCACAGCCATCAGGGCTGGTGACATCAGTTAGGGAGTCATCAGCATCTAGAAGGCATTGAAGCCACAGCTCTGGAGGATGACACCAGGGAATGAGTATAGAGGGAAGAGAGGTCACGGAATGAGCCGCAGGGCTGCAGTGCTTAGGAGCCAAGGAGGCAGTGAGTGAGCACCACGAAGCCAGCCAGAGGAGCAGGTGGAGGCCCAGGAGGGAGTGGGATCCTGGGGGCTGCGCAGGAGGGCGGGACTGCTATGACAGATGGGCACATGGCCCATGTTAGTCAAGAATGGAGAGCTGACTAATGGATGCAGCTCCTTAGAACTCCAGGGGTGACTGTGACAAGAGTGGTCCCAGTACAGTGGTGAGGGCGAGGGAAGTTACACCTAATGGAAGAGGTTTCAAGAAAGACAGGACCAGGGCCAGATGTCGTGGCTCATGCCTGTAATCCCAGCACTTTGGGAGGCCAAGGCAGGTGGATCATATGAGGTCAAGAGTTTGAGACCAGCCTGACCAACATGGTGAAACCTCGTTTCTACTAAAAATACAAAAATTAGCTGGGCATGGTGGCGCATGCCTGTAATCCCAGCTGCTCGAGAGGCTGAGGCAGGAGAATCACTTGAACCTGGGAGGCGGAGGTTGCAGTGAGCCAAGATCAAGCCATTGCCCAGAGCAAAAACTCCGTCTCAAAAAAAAAGATAAAAAAAGAAAGATAGGACTGCGGTGGTCACAAGGCGGGCCCACTTGTGAGCATACTAAAACCACAGGATTGTACACTTTGGTGGGTGAATTGTATGGAAGGCGGACTATATATTGACTGTTTTAAAAAAGAAAAAGGACAAGAGGGAGGGAGGGAAGGAAGGAAGCAAGTAATCCACCCCTGGGGATGTCTCTTACATGTCCTTATGGGTAAGGATGAACAAACAGAGCTGCTTGTTGCCGCAGTACACCGCAATGCATTCCAGGATGGAACATAGCACAGTTATAACAAGGAATATGGACGATCTCTGTGTCGTGACAGGGAGCGATCTCCAGGACCTGCTAGTGTAGGAAGCAGGCTGCAGAACAGCCTGTTGACTACAGTGTTTACTGAGGCCTTTCTATAGGGGGAGAGAGAGAGAGAGAGTGTGTGTGTGTGTGTGTGTCAGAGGAAGTGGGTGGTAAGAATATAAGTTTGTATTCTTTTTTTTTTTTTTTTTTTTTGAGACGGAGTCTCGCTTTGTGGCCCAGGCTGAAAGGCAGTGGCCGGATCTCAGCTCACTGCAAGCTTCGCCTCCCGGGTTCACGCCATTCTCCTGCCTCAGCCTCCCGAGTAGCTGGGACTACAGGCGCCCGCCACCTCGCCCGGCTAGTTTTTTGTATTTTTTAGTAGAGACGGGGTTTCACCGTGTTAGCCAGGATGGTCTCGATCTCCTGACCTCGTGATCCGCCCGTCTCAGCCTCCCAAAGTGCTGGGATTACAGGCTTGAGCCACTGCCCCCAGCCAAGTTTG